TATTTTTTGAGAGGTGCCTCAACAACCAAGCCTATTTCTTATATAAAACGCTCCTGCGCCAGAGCTATCGGCGGCTCGACCGCCAGCGGCCGGGCGGTAGTGGGGGAACAGGAGGCGTTGTCTCTTGAATTGGCCCGAAATGTGCAACTAATTCCGAGCGCTGCTATAGAGGAATGCAAATTTATTTTCGCTCAAATAGTATTTTATATTTAAATAAAAAACTCTGAATTAAAATTGGAAGAGCCGAGATATCCGTTCGCCGCGATACAAGCGGAGAAACGTTTGCATGTGAAAATCTCAGTAGCCGTGGGAAAGGTAGTGTGACGCAGAAAAATATAGTTCTGCCGCGTGTGCCTTTGTGCAACAGCCGGCAGCTCGATGCGAGCCGGCTAGTGCGGAGAAAGCGAGAGAGTGAAAAGCAGACTGTTGTAGCGTATAGTTTGGAATTGATTTTTGCGCCCACGCTCGGTCGTACGCGCGTAACATTCACCGGCGTGAATTCGCGATTCGCGAAACACGCCACGGCAGATCTGCACCGCGTGCAGGAACGGCCTTGGTAATTGACACTTCGCATGCTGCTGTAGGTGCGCGAATTGTGATTAGTCATCGATATAGCTGAACGATGGAAATAGAATCGCTGGCGAAATTCTTTCGTACGAATTCGCACGCGCGAACGACCTGAAATCCATTCATTCTAATAAGCTCCGGGGGCATTAACTTCCCGCGTATTCCCGCGAGAGAGAGAGAGAGAGAGAGAGAGAGATGAATCGCGAGATTCATCATTGGTCTCTTCGGTACAAAACGGTTTTAACAACGTATTCACGCGTCGCTTATCAAAGACCGTGGAACGACGTCCACGGGGACGTCTGATCGGGTACACGTGTGTAATTTTTGTTACGACGCTCGGACCTTCACGCATGGACACGTGGGTTACACGGTATACACACACACACACACGTGCACACGGAGAGAGAGAAAGAGAGAGAAAGAGAGAGAGAGACGGGTTCACGCGCGCGCGTGCCGTTGCGCAGCGCATAAAAGTAGTGGGTCGAGCGGGGGAAAGACGCGCGGTACTTCGCGTGAACAAGCGCTGGTAGGGTGGATGCCCGGTACGCGCGCTCCAACCGGCCAGGCCATGCGTGTGCATCCGCAACGGGCCGCGGCTATCTCTTCACCGCCGGCAACATCGTATCGCACGCGATGCGCCCACGAAACGCCGCTGCTCTACGTCGCTCCATGTCTCTCATCGCGCGCGTCGCGGCAACCCTGTGTGCGTCGGCTTACTCATCCCCGCGGCTTCGCAGAAGCGCCAATGACATCCGCGCGCACGCGAACTCGCGGGAGATGGTTCCGCCAGATTTACATCGCGCTCCTCCTACGTCTCGGGGAGGAAAAAAAATGATAGGGAACCGATTTCCTTTGTTACACGACACCCCTCGACGCGTCAAGGCACTTCCCAATCGAATTTTACAGTCGCGTGCTGTCTCCCGCGCGTGTCATATACGATGCATGTATAACGCGATGCGTCATGCAGGACGTTCCGCGCGCGCGACGATAATCCTTGCTTGAAGCTGAAATAATTTCTCCGCCAAATTGCATTTCGCAAGTTTGTGGGAAAATTAAATATCCCCATAACAATTCCTCCTCTTCGTCAAATGAAAATTAAAATCCAAGAAAACTTTATCGAGGAGCAAAATAGCTGGGAGGAAAGATTATGATTTCTCTTCAACAATCGTACGAAACGGACTTTATACAAAATTCACGTATAATTTAAGAAAAGAAACATTTTGCATCTTTTATAAGAAAATTCGCGCTCAATGTCCGCGGCGTCTGTAGCGTCTGCGAAGATGCTCACCAGGATGCATGGTGCCCTCTGGACTAATGCTGTCGGAATTACCGCGTCGTATCCTAAAGGTCGCGGGAGGGGGAGAGGATGGTAGGGGGAAGGATTGCTGCGAAGTTCTCCGGAGCACGCCAAAGCAACGCCGAGGCATGGCAAGGCAAAGGGAGAGCATTGCCTGCCGACCGGCATAGAAGGTCTGTGACCTCGGCAATGGCTGCGCCACGCCGTACGCCGGCACATACCCGGCGTGTACCGTTTCGGAAGTGATGTCACTGGATTACCTTAAACGAAATCCTTAAAATCGTCGAAGCGCTTCTTTCCTAAACGGTACATTATTCTCACGCGTGTCTTTTTTACACGCGCGTATCGACGGACGCGCGGATACTCATCTGCCCTTGCAGCATGCGCTCTCGATCGCTAATCTTTTGTCGCGTCACCCGGTATATCGCACGGTACAACACCGGTGTATCTCGCGGTGTACCGTTTCAGAGAGCTGATGTCACTACACTTAGCGAGGGCCCTTAAGCCCGCTGAAATGCCTCTTTCGAAATGACGATACTTGTACTTATCGCGCACTTATCGTCGTCCTTTTTGAACCTGCGTCAATACGCCCACGGATGGCTTATCAATCCACGCTATCGCGCGCGTTCTGGATCCGCTACGCCTGCCGTCGCCGGCGCCACCCGTTATGCCGCGTGAGAATCGAAAGAGGCGAGCGTAATAGCGCTTAAGCCGAGCCGCGCAAATTTCAGGGAAGCGATCGGTGCTACGCGGCTCGCGATTTCCGAGATCGCGCCTTAAGTGCAGTCGTTAAAGTCACTCGTAAATATTCATGCGCTCATTAGCTAGACCGAACGGCCGGCGACGTGCTATCGCGCGAATACATACTTAAAGAAATTATTTTCGCCGTAGACCGACGGGACTCATTAATCCGGAGTGCTTTGAAGGAACGTCCTCCGCTGCGGCGGCATTAACGAGAGACTATGATTGTCTTCTCAGATGAGACCGCGTTCTAAGATACTCTCGTGTTGCGTGCGCTCGCCGAGATGATCCGTAAGAACCTTTAACAAGTGATTAGCCATATCGGCTTACTTGTGTATCAAGTTACATCGATACTCCCGAGTTCATAAATTCAAGCGCAGATAGCAACCAATCTAATATTGGCGGACTCAATCTCTCCGTCACTTCATCGCTATAAATAAATATAGAAAACACTTTGTGTGTTTAAAATATTGAAATGCGGAGTCGACGAAATTGCATTGCTGCGAAACAGTGTGTTTCAATGAACCGTCTATACTTATTGTCAACAAATAATTTGCATTAAAGCTGATTTAATCGTGAATGCAGTCCGAATATGCAATTATGATACCTTAAACGGACAAAGCGGGTACAATCATCATTCTATCCGCGCCCGAGAACGCGAAGGATCCGGGTATCGTCTGTAATCGTCACGCGGGAGAACGTGATTATACAGGTGAGGACGCGAGTGGAACCTTTCTCGCGCGAAAATGCCAATCCTGCGCCGTCGTCGTCCTTCAGGCACACGATCATCGAGACCGCGTGGTCCGCGTGAGGGCTTGTATTCCTCGCTCTCCTGGATCAATATCACGTGACCGTATCATCGTGACCGGCGCGGCGCTTCCACCGCCGGCCGATGTAAACAAAGAAACGTGCGCGCGGCGAGGCCGCCGGCTGCCGCGCGCATCGATTTCCTCCTCGGCGGCTTGGCTTGGCGTGACTCCGACACAGGGCCGTCTTAAGATACCAAGGGTACTTGCAGAGTCTTAACATGACATCCACATTGTGAAGAGAAGGTTCTTTACCTTAAAAAAAAATTAAGACATAAAAGATACAGAAATATAACAACAAAAAAACCGTGACATTATGTGTGTTATAATACAATAGATATAAGATATATAATAACGCTAAAAAGGCTAGATCCTTCTAATTACGCAACAATAATATTAAAATAAAATATATGATAAGAATATAAACAATGTAGACTTTACTAATGAATAATGTTGAAATTTACAATTTCGATAAAATAAAGAACTTTATTTCGATAAAACAAATCGCGAGAAAAGGTCATGGATGGCGTTTTAAAGGACGAGCGACCGATGACTCTTGTCTTGTCCATTTAATCCGGGGCTAAGGCAGTCCTGCGTCAACGTGCGCCGTGCGCCCACGCGTGGATTGCATTACAGCGCGCCAATTGGTACAAGATGACGTAGAACAGGATGCCGCTAAAAATATAGCTCTCCGTCACCCTTTCCCTTTCGCCTTTTCACAGAATTACTATGCGAACCTGTTAGATCCGTCTATTTCATTCTTGTTGAGTCTCTCATTACATGCATGCATTTCTATCGATGGTCATCAACAAGTGTCATTTTTCTACTTGCAGGCAAATGCAGCAGTGGTCTTTAAGTGCAATTGGCCAGGCTGCTTGGAAATTAAAGCGACCGTTGCACTTATTGAGGAACATGTACGCCAGTTACATCTGGGGTAAGCTAATACTCTAGATATCAATACGGCTTGCGCACAAGACTCGTTGCACTATCGAGTTATGCTGTGAAGTCGTGATCGAACAGTCAGGTCAAACTGGTCTCAGCTGACGGGGAACGCAAAATATTTTTGTGCGCTGAAACATTGAAGTGGCGTTGTAACAGATTAATGATACAATATATATCTTCAAGTGTGTAATTCTTTACAGACTTGAAAATTAGTCTGATTTCAAAATTGTAACGCACTATTTTGACCTGCTGATGATGAATAGTAATAAAATATCCATACATATGTGTAAGTTTATTTTAATATAATATTTGCATGAATTAAGATACGTTAAAAAAAAAAGTTATTACAAGTACAGTCTTCTCGACGGTTTGATCTTTTCCGATCAACGAACTTTCCTGTACATAGTGAAATGTGAACCAAGATCGTATTTGTTTTATAGTCCAAAGAAGTCCAAGGAATGCGACAGCGAGGAGGACGATATGTCCGTTCACGAGGAGGAATTCTATTACCAAGAAGTTGCTGTGGATCACATGAGCTCGCCTCCCACAATGTCTCACCGGGATATGGCGAGACCGCCGCACGAGGATCCCGAGTATCAAAAGCAGCTTCGCCTCGAAGCGACTCCTGCCACGAGTAACTACATCGAGAATGTAATGGTCGGTGTCAGAGAACCGAGCACGTTTACGATCTCACAGTCGCCGGTAAGTAGCGTTGCACCGTAAACCGTATCAAAGATGAGATTCAATTAAATTCACTTCCTCTGTATTTCAGGGTACGCCCAACAAGCACATCAAACTATCCCCACGGCCATTGCAGGCGTGCCACCAACAGAACATGACGTCGTCCACGGGTAAACCGTCCTCTCCGCGGCGAACTCGCAGCGACGTTAAAAAGTGTCGCAAGATCTACGGTATGGATGCACGCGATCTCTGGTGCACTCAGTGCAGGTGGAAGAAGGCCTGCACCCGTTTCTGCAGCGAATAGGCCAAGCGTCCGCCCCGTTCGTACGTCCGTGGGCGGAAACCCTTGTCAAGTCGACCCCAGAGTTTGCCAATGCTACGTTGAACATTTAACACCAACTGCCAAATGCCAATTATCGACGAAACGGCTCCCACGTTCGGAGCGCGAGAGCGCGAAACCGCGAGAATAAAACTTGTCGCCGGTTGTAGCGAATGGGTTGCTGTATGGATTATTCCCGTCATGTATAACCTCTCATGAAAAAAAGCAACAAACAGAAAGCAAAATCTCATGAAAGCAGCGCATTACTTCCTCTTCTTTCCTGTCGTCATGCAAAACGATTATTCATACGCAGACGACAGACACGAGTTTCGAAAGGAAACGTTTTGTCCAATGACGATTGACTGGTGGTTCTAATATTTATGCATAATGCAACACTCTCCCCGGTCTGGTACTCACAGAGGAAGCTTATGATGGAAGAATGATTTCCGCTCGTGTTTTGCGCTTGGCAAACTCCGACCGGGTCCCTTGGCCGTAAACAAGGAACACTTCGATTAGTAGGTAGCGAATAATTGGGCGCGCGGAGCGAGGTGATCTTAGACTGTTGCATTCATCGTATTCACGGGTGAAAACGTGAAACACAGCCTCGCTCCCAATTCGCCTGACAAACAGAACCTTTTGGTTCGGCACGTACGCGATACGCATCTGCACTCGGAGCGAGCATGCATGCTCTTCGAGGTGCTGGTTCCCGAACCGTCTCTTAGGTCATTGCAATAGATCTTCCTTCTTCCGCCAGCGGAGCGCGAACGTGACGCGTTTTCGGTCAACGACGGAACGTTAAGGAGCGTTTACGTCCAACCCAGGGAACGCCGTCTGTCCGATCCCGGGGAACGAATGACCGAATCTAACCGGCGGAAGAAAGACCGGCCGATTGATGTTCAATGCTAAACGAACGTAGGCAAGTAAGTTGGAAAGTCTCGCGTGGAACAGAGCTGCTAAATGTGATATTGTATCTAAAATTTATCGGATCTATCGCGGATCGAGCGGGAGAGCGCAAAGGTAGACGAGGGCGCGAAGGAATAAGGAAACAAAAAAAAAGAGAGAGAAACCAAAATTTTATACACCAATTATACTGCCAGATAAATAATTCAAAAATTGTTGTTCAAGCCTCTCTCGCGCGTTAGAGAGGCATTATATGTTGCACGGCATGCGTCGCCGTATACCGGGCTTAGTCTTGTTAGCCTTCTGACGACCTAAGACCGTATTCGCCAACACGCGTGAATGGGGTAGGCTACGCAGTTGAATCGATCGATTTATTAGGATTTAGCGAAGGTCTCGCTCTAGATGACACACACGAATACACATACAACATATATATATGTATACATATATATATATATATATATATATATATATATATATATATATACACATTTCGTGCGCGAAAAGAACGATGACATCACATTTATATAGTCTACATCATTTCTTATACTCCTTTCTCGCTTTGGGCCATTCGCGAGACGATTTGAACCGATTATTACGAAATACCGATTATTTTGATCTCGATAATATTTCTAATGTAGTGATAATGAACGAACATTTGCAAATTTTATATGTTGACCGATTTCACGAAACAATCTTCACAGATAAGCGACGTGTTCAATGTCGCTTGAGAGTTCCTCGTTTCTCACTGCAGCTATATTGAATTATGACGTCAAAATAAAAAATATATATATGAATGAAAAAATTATATATATATATATATATTATTAAATTAATATATTTTTATATGAATTCATATATATGAATGAAAATTACATAATTCTTTTATATTATTCATAAAAAATAAATCATGCACATAAATGTCGCAAATTCATATTGAACAAAATAGATATACGAAATATATTTGAAACTTTCTTTTTAGCCATCCTTTATTAGTAAATGAAGATATATTTTAATCTATATGTCTTATAATCCTTTATTGTTTTATGACAATTGATGGTTTATAGCTATCTTTTAACTCATAAATGTAAAAGAGAGCTAATCTACATTCATCAGGCATGAATGCTATGTGAAAAAATTTATTTATTTATTTTTATTTATGTTTATTTACATACGAGATAAAAAAATCAATACAAGTTTTTACTTCTGGCATCATAATCCAATATCACAGTAAGGGGCCAGGAGCCTTGAAATTTTAATGCAATAAATGACAGAAATGTTTTATATTTAATGGAAGAAAGTTGGTGAGACGTCGCAATGCATACAATATTTGATGTGGTCAAGAATATATTAAGAAGCGACACTCGCCAAAATATAATTACTTCCAATTTCCCAATCAATGTTCGTACTTTAGTATAATTGTATATTTAGTATAATTATCTTGTATATTAAGTCTCTTGTATATTACGTGTATTATCTTGTATAGTACGTCCCTCGTTTTATATAATTATTGAACTTAATGTACTAAGAATTAGTAATGTTGTTTATTGATAATAACGTCACGGGGTTTAGATTTTATTAGCATAATGAAACGTTAATTATTATCGACATAATGCGCTAATCAAGCTGATGATTCGAGAGTGACTTTAACTCAGAAAGAAATCAACAATTCCGTAAAGATATCAACTTACCATTCTAAGTTGTGTTCAAAACGAGAAATATCGCGTTGCCAGTATTTTCCGATTTTTTATCAATATAATTGTATCCATATCCTTTAAAAAGAAAAGCGCGATTGTCTTAAAAATTATCAATCGCTGCTTGACGTAATGTTGTCGTCGCACAGAACAGATTTGTTTCTTCCCTCATAAATTCGATGCTATACATCACAAGCTGTTACGGCTTATTGAATCGCGTAACTGAAACAGCAAAGTTTTAGAGTTTGTAAAGCAGCAGTACTCAAATGATAATTATAGTCATCCCATACCAATGAGTGCTGATCACATTCAATTTTATAGTATGATGTTCATAATAATACAGAGAGTCATTATCACGCATTTGCAAAATGAAACATACAAGTACAGATAGCATAGAAAGTAATTGCCGTCCATGTAGGTTCCTTCCTGCGATCAAAATTGTTACGCTCGTTTATGCCGACACAGTTTATCAAGGACAATATCTAAAACTACTAAAAAGTGATGCTGTCACTTAATACTTAGTTATTAACATGACATGATTCTTCTGTCGTGATTTCATTCTGTGCGGTCTGTACAATACACGTAACATTGAAAATTAAAAAAAGTGCGGCGGTAACATTGAAACATAATGCTGAAGAGAAATTATTACTAAAGTTTAACGTACAAGTCTTTCATTCAACACACTCTTTAAGATATCATTTTAATGACATTTTTTAAATTCTACATAGAAATTTTCTTGTAGAATAGTTTTCGAAATATCGATCTAATCTCTTAAACCTCGGCATTTTCGTATTTATTTTCATTCATGTCTTCGACATGTGCACTTGACGTCATATACGCCTTCACGTTTGATACTAGGTACTTTTGGGTTGAAATCATCATATCTAATGCATCACGACTCCAAATTGTATCTGACAATCTGGCAGCTGTGAGCATTTAAGAGTTAAATGTAGGATTAAAAAGTAGATAACAGATTATACAATAAATCAACCGATAAAAAAATAGTTTGGGATATTTTAAACAATAATCATGATGCACAAATATTTAGATACGATATGTTCAATCCAAAGATGCCTTGTCAGATATGAAAATATGTATAATGCCGAGTGTGCTGCATCGGGCGGATAAGAAAGTGTTGAAAACGAGAATCAGTCGCCAATTGGAAATTATTCACGAAATGACAAAGAACGCATTATATCGCCTCATACATTGCGGTAATAATACAGCCTTTTAGCTGATTGTTTAAACTTCCGACTCCATTAATGCGCGATGCGAAATCGTATCTGTCGTCATACACGTTGCAATAAATTTCCGATGGTCTTACAGAAATTCGTATGATTTATTGTTGATCCCACTGTGCATTGGCATGAGCCGACAGATCCCGTCTCACGACTCGAGTGTCGCGTTGAAGAGAATTTTGGCGATTAACATAACGTGGGATGGCACGTTCGCGAATGTAAACAAGTACAAGTTTAAATAACTGTGCCATTACGTATGCCAAATATTCTCTAATACCCTCATCGTAATTTAAAGAAAAGAAAAAAAAAAAAAAAAATCAGCGAGAAAGGAAGAATCTCCGCAAAAAAAAAGAAGGGAATTTTCCAAACGATGTGAGGGGGGGGAAAGAGCAAAGTTTAAACATTCGTAACGAAAGCTTTACAGACTTAAAGATACCTCAGGTTTATTTCACATACGAACATACCGCATACATCGTTGTCCTGTTCGAAGCGATCCGCCGATCGAGATGCAGTTTTTTTTGTATTGTTCCAACGCTCGATTGGCAAACGGCGGATGATTGTTGTCTATCCATCGCTTCGGTCGGGACGACCGACTGATGAAACACAGAAACAAAGTAATATGTATTCTCTTTGCGATGTTAATGTCAATATTACTTAGTCAAATCCGTTGCGACGAGTCGTTGCGACGGTTCGGGACGCTGTATAATAATAGAGAGTATATCGCATTTAATCGGCAGCCTGATTTTCGAGATCGCGCGTCGTGGTCGGAACTACCATGCAGCCTAAACTAGATATTCTCTCCGTTAGCGATCGGCAACCGCCGTCCGAGACTGGCATCGATCGTAGCTCTCGTACGGCGACGGCGTTGCTCACAAGATGTATCGCTGATTATCGCCGGCCCCGCACACGAACGGAAACCCTTTACGTTTACGCATCAGGAATACCGAAACCGTTTGAGTTCTGAACCCTCGCCTCTTTTCAAACCAGAGCCACTGCATACCGCGTATTCTCATTGCCGTACGCGCCGCATTGCTGTGTGTCCGCAATCACGTGGACTCCGCGATTCAGATCAATCATCGAATTTTCGATCGATTCGACCGGCGGGCCAGTCATTGCGAGCGATCACGGGTTCTTATCCCGTCAAGTTGGGGGGGGGGAGGGTGGGGGGAAAGGAAATCCCTATCGAAATACGACGATCGTCCCACGGAGTTAATTTCGATACGGAGCTCTGTCCAGCACGTTCGCCGAGATACCGAAAGAAGGATTATGTTGCGGGTTTAAAGCTATAATGGCCGGGATTATTATACCAAAACGATCTCATATCGATTTAATGAAGTGTAATTTTCACCAGTATGTACGGCCGAGCCGTGCCACCTCCCGTTGTACCGAGCGGCAGCCGTCGCTGGTACCTCAGATTGTATCGTGAAGAAAATTGTTAATGACGCGAACGATAGAATCTGCGGTACGCGCGATAACGTGGTGTTTATAAAAAAAAAAAATAAGAAAGAAAAAGTGACTTTTTAAGATCCTAGCTCATTCGCTTAGACCACTACGCGCTCGGCCGACCGTACAACGCAAAGACATATTATTATTAATATTATATTATATATTATATATTATATATTATATTATATATGATTATATTATTATTATTATTATTATTAATTTTTATTAATTATTAATTATTATTGCATCCATCGTCGTCGTCATCTTCATCTTAACTCTTAACACAATTATTAGCGTCACTTGCAGTACGTTAAGTAATTGTTAAAGCGCGAAATCTTTATTAATATTATGTTAGGTGGACCGTTAATATTATCTCCCGCGTTAAAAAAGAGGTGTTTCAAGGTGGATCGCACGTTCGAAGTGATTCAAAAAAGAAAGAAACATCGAGCAGACCATGAGAGATCCGAACAATCTCGCTAGACGTGCAACCAGCGACTCTTATCATTCTTATATATCGCTACAAAAAAGAAGCTTCTATTTATCGATAATGCATATGGTTATAACGCTGTGGTTATGTCGCATTATTTGACACTCGATTATTCTAACGTATATGACTGAGAAAGAAAATTACGATGCAACGTTAATTACATTTGAGTGTAAATTTTATCGTTAAGACATCGTAATAAAGGTATCTAAGAAAACAGTATATCAAGTTATTGATTCATCTCACCGTATATTATATCTTTTTTTGTTTTTTTCTGTAAGACACACAGAATCATGTTCTCTCAAACGTGTAAGCGCATAAACTTTCTATGAAAATTGTGATATAAACGTATAATTTATAAATATATATGTACGTTACAAATTTAATGCTATTTTCATCTTTAAGAATACGTTCTATTTATTTGCACGCATTGTGTATTTGTTTTATTATTCCGCGAATAATGAAATTGAGATGTAAGCATTTGTAAATATATTTAGGCAAGAAAAACCGAAGAGCACAACGCTTGAGGGTCTTGCATACTAAATTGCGTATATATATATATCTATCTCTTCTAACGCTTTTATTTTTATAGATTGTAAAAAAATGACAAAATTATATCTTGGATTCATTGAATTTCTCGTAGATATACTACGACACTATCTCATAGACATAAAAATCTTCAATAACGTAAACATTCTAGAAATTATATGGTATTATAAGTCGCGTTTAATAATAAGTACTTCATGTTTTTTCGAATATGCGCTGTGAGCTCTCACAGTACTCTCTTGCTCAATGCATATACACGGCAGACTCGCATCTGCACGCAGATATCACCAAAAAGTAGTTCATATTCGTCGCCGGTCGGTACCTCGGTACTTATTATGCGATAATGAGACATAATCGCAGCTTCATTCTCGCCACATTAACTTTCACATTAAGTATCTGTACATAAACGTAGCGTCCGAATACTTGTTTACGCAAAGAGAGATATATTTCAGACACACGGACTGTAGTTGATTAAATCCGAGTGATTTCGATAGATTTGGTCCTGTACACGATATATTATTCCTGTACACGAAGTCTAATTGACGATATACGTTGAATCGGATTTACAGATATCGTACTTTCGTAAATGTTTCTATACGATTTATAAGAGGAAGCACAACAGGCGTAGAGAACGTTCGCTAATAAATGCATATCTTGCGGAATGTAGTCTCGCTATCGAATCAAATGTGCGTCTCAAGGTATACACACTTCGAACAACAGCAGCATAAACAACACACCGCGACCGTAGTTTTATAACAGAGATGCCTGTTGGATCACTATACTGCCGAATACTCTTTGTATTTTATCCGTTCGTCGAAGTTCTTCTTTGTTGAACTTTGTATTTGTAAAATCGCGCGGATTTACGTAGCGCGGCAACGAAATAACTCGCAGTAACAAAAAAAATGCCGACGATAGTAATAATATATACAAAAAATATATATATATACAATGCGCGGTAAACTCAGAACGAAGGATAAAATCGTGTTCGTGTATAGTGTCGAAAACGGATTCGTGTCGTGAATGCCGCGCGACACGGATTCGTGCGAAGGAATTTTAGAGAAGTTCTAAAATGACTGTCCTTATAGTTAGCCTGTTGTGACGAATAATAATCGTCGCTGCATATAAAAAAACATAGTAGCATCTTAACATGTTAACCGAATACATAGCGAATAGTAGGAAGAGTGTGCGCGCGCGAGCGTTTGCGCGATAAAAGATTGTATGCTGTAAATTGCCTTCTGCGGAAAAAAACTGGCATTTTGGTGCATAAAATTAAGCCGATAATGTAGCTATCACCGTAGCCGGTTGTAGAAGGCCGGGAAATCGCATAATTGCACCGCTATTACTGAATAGAAGACGTACAGCTAAATCCATGTATATAATGCAACGTAGTATTACGATTCACGATGTAAAAAGGTTGCGCAAGCTCCTTGAAAACCCCAAATTTGATATTTTTTCGCTGTACACGTATCGAGAGTACATGCATTGTGCAACAACGCGTGCAAATCATAGTTAGGATTGATCATGAGAAATTTGCAAAGTGCATACTATAAAATAGAATTCCTAATCATTTCAACAAAATTTTTAACTTTGATTTTTCTTTCTCGCTTTTCTTATGAAAGGTAAAATTATTTTCATCTTTTCTGTGTATTGCATTTTATAGCTTATTTTACAATAAGAAAAAATTAGAAAGATTATTGATTTGATTTATGTCACATATGAAATAAAACACATTTGATAAGTAGACAAAAATTTTTCTCATGTTACATAAATTGGGGAATTGTATTTTGCAGTATAAATTTTCGTTAATTTCTTTTAATGCAGTTATTTTTTTGCGGAACATTTATGTCGCTGGTAGCACTTACGATCGTCCCTACTATGTATACTCGTATGTGACAATAGAATATTTGCCGCCGATGAACATTAAATTTTTTAATTGTCAACGAACGGTTTTACGATTAATTTTGCTGAGTTTCGAGATATTTTCGACGATAAGTATTTAAGATCTTTATGAACAAAACAAAAAGCTATTGCTTACGTTTCAGAGGTGGGTGAATATTCTGGGCTGGATAATGATTATACTTTTGTTTAAACAATAAAAGAATAATTTGTATTTTCCGGAGAATGTCCCTCTATCTATGCTAAGAATCATTATCGCCAAGCAACTTTTCGTAATAAAATCTATGCGAAGGTCAGTATGAGTATTTGAATTGGCTATTTCCTACATTAATGGTAATTTAAATTTGCGACGAGAAAGCGAAAACGATTCTCTTATGCGCATTGTTGCTAGTATCACTTTATGGAAATCCCCAATTATTTATTATGATTCTTGTACAAACATCATTAAAATGCGAAAATAAAATTGTTTATATAAAGAGTTTTTAAAACATCGTGAATCGTTGAACTTTCTCATGCACAAATAATTATTTTTAACAGAAGAAAAAAAATATAACAAGTATTTACTCTATTCTTTTAACACTTGAAATACAATAAGTATATTTTTTTTAATTTTGTGAAATTGTCAAAAAGATTATGAAAAAAAGAATAATCTCCCTATTTGAAGTCAATATACAACAATATAACTGAAAGATCCTTTTTGAAAAATAAACACGAGCTAATTTTGTACTCGTACATGCCGAATGTTCTATTCATATAGAATAGACACGCTTATCGTATAGAATAGCGCACAAAAATAATCGGGAAAGTAAGTTATAAAATATATTTTCCATAGCTCTAACTCGAAGTTTCGAAATAAAGACTAATAAACGGGAGACTTTCTCTGCTTCCAGTTTTATAGTTATTTTTAAGACTTTAGAAATCTCAAATAGGGGTTCTATTCAGAAGAGAGAAATTTACAGGTATTATTTTTAATTACCACATGAAATGTATTTGTCAACTCGTATTTGAGCCAAATGCATAAGAGAGTAAACAACGTGAGTGATCACGATGTTATTTAACACGTATTGAAAATCTACGTTTCCTTAAAAACGTTCTATCGCCGACCGATTATAAATTGATCACTTCACTTTGAATAAAATATTATTTACTTTAAACTTACGTGTAAGTATAGCGCATTATAATCATATTGTGAAAAATTTCGTCTTCTATGTTATTAAATTAATTACATTTATCAAGAACAAAATTTAGCTTCATAATCTTTTCTCTAAATTTGTTGAGTTCACGCTTCCTTATGCAAATATCGTTTTACACATCTGTACATGTGTCAATAATATAAATGTTCAAATAATACAAGATCTAAAAGCATAAATTTATATATGTAAATTTTTATTAAAGAATTATTATAGTGATGTTTTTCGTAAGATTTGCATTAAATTTCAACAATGCATTTAATTTCTAAACCATTATGTAAGCGGTACGATAGAGAAATCATGTTAAACAATGATAGTTTTATTTTTTATTAATTATATGACTGATAAAAATATCTTAACTTCGAAAATTTCATGAATATTGAAATGTAAAGCAATGATTAAAACAACCTATTGTAAGAATTCACTCTAAACTATCAAAGCGCTAATTGAATTATTATATAAGCCTTTTGAAATTATTGTTATATATAAATATATACATATATATATATATATATTTAAAATAAATCATGCTGTAGTAAACAATAGTAATTAATCGTTGGCGACGACGATGATGACAACGACGACAACGATAACAATGATGACAAAAATAATAACAAACGTATGATTAATATTATTAAACCTTATATTTTATTAATTATTATTATATGTACAAAATATACGCATGTAAAACTATATATCGTACGGTTATGTATAATGCTACATACGTATAGAATATATGTTATTACACTTTCTTCCTTATACTTATAACTTATTAATTTTATTTCCTATTTTGGATAATTTTAGATATTTTAATTGTATTTATTATTAAAAATGTATAATTTTATTTATATTTATAATTTTTATATTTACTGATATCTTGAACGTATTAAAAAATTATTAATAAAGGAGAAATAACATTTAACAATGTTACATATAATCATTAAATCATATTAGTATTTATTGGTAAGTTAAAAATTTTGACAAATTACTTTGATAAATTAATAACTTTTAATCTACAAACAAGATATATATATTTAAAATATATTTTCTACCGTTTTATCAAAATTTAAATTGAATTATATATCAATATATCGTGTAAAAATAATAGATTATGCTTTGAATTGGTATAATTGTACGAAAAAAGATGCACTATATTTATATAAGTTTGTATCGGCCTAAATTTAATTTTGATGAAATGGTGTATAAAATTTATATATCTATATTAGGCTAACCTCCGATCTCAGCGATCACATTCATTCTTTATTTGATTTAAATCCAACAGCATCATTCGCTCATAGCAAATATTTACGGAGTTTCCGCTCACAGCAACATGCATAAATATATTACATTGAAAAAATTGTGTTAAACTGAATGAACTGTTATATAAATAATTCCATAAAATTAAACTTCAATTAAAAATGACAGATGGTGATAGGTGTGCGGCCATTTTGGAGTCGACTCAGTGCTGGCAATTTAAAATAATAAAACTTTCCAAGTATATAAAGGCGCATTTTCAATGGCCGATTATAGGAATTCTTGTCATTTTTGGATTGCCTACAATGGGCCGACTCCAGAATGGCCGTTCCTGTCATTTTAAATTTGAGTTCAACTATATATAATTGTATTTACAAAAGCTTATGTAGATTTAACACGGTTTTTTTCAATGAATTATGTCTATACACGTTACTGTGAGCGGAAACCCTGTAAATATACGCCGTGGGAGAATGGTACTGTCGGATTTAGATCAAATCAAGAAGAATGAACGTGATCGTCGACGGAGGTTACGTCTAGAACAGGTTTACATATATTATACATTTTTATCTGCAAAACTGTAAATAAAGTTTAAGTCTGCAGTGCGTATCAAACTTCTTAGAGTCTATGTCAACGAATTAAATTATTGGTTTTCTTTGCAATAATTGGAATTAGTTATCTCACTTATACTTGATAATGTAAACATTAATCAAGTGATTTAAATTTGCTAAGTGACATGTGTTACAGGTTCGACAGCAGTCAAAGGAAATATCAAACCGATTGTTAGAACGTGCTAAAAAGATAGCAAAGGAAGAGCTTAGCAAATTAGAAAAAGATGGGAAGTCAGAACTTAAGCAGATGCACGATAGAAAGATTATGGAAATACAACAGAAATATCAAGAAGATTTAGAAGATATTGGTCAAGCTCATACCTCTGCTGCTTTGCAACCGGATGTTGATGCGATAATAGAAGAAGAGAGAAGGAAAGACAGAGCTGTGGCCTTAAAAAGAGGAAAGGATGCCGCAGAATGTTTAAAAGAAGCAAAACAGAAAGATAGTGCAGAAACCACCCATCAAGAAAGATTGCGTAAAGTACGAGAAGTGGAAAATATGAGAGCTGCGTTGATAGCTAAACTTCCTAAACCAACATCGCCTCAGAGAAGCAACACAACAGAAATAAATTCTTCTCAAGAAGATTCCAATGAAGAAATTGTTCATAAAACATTAACTCCAGAAAAAAAAAATAAAAATGTTTCAAAAAAGTCACCCAGAAGAACGAAGAAATCAAATGTAAAAGAGTACCAAAAAACACTATCACCTAAACCAGGCCCTTCAGGATTACAAAAGCAAGTTGCTGCGCAACTTAATAAAACTCCAAAAAAGAAAGACAAAGTTGATCGTATTGAACATATCATTGATAATACAGCTGATGAACAATTGCCACGAAGAACAATACCAATTAAAACACCGATTAAGGCTGACAAAGTAGGGAGATATAATCCAGAAGATTATACACAGGATACATCAGATAATATAAGCAGTATTAGTAGTAGTAGTTCTAGTTCAATTAGCGATGACTCGTCGTACTTTTCTGATGCTGCAGAGCAAATTACATTTAAAAGAACTCCAACAACAGCTTTGCCAAAGAGCAAAGTACGATTATACGACCACAATCTGCGTCAAAGAAACGTTTACGACGCGCCTCTTGGTATAGTTGAAAGAATTGACATTGGAAATGAGCCAAATGCGATAGAAGTAGCACAGACAGTGAAAAACGCAGAGAATATAAAGACACATATGTGCAAGGGTCGTAAATTAGCTGCACAGCGTCGTGGTGAAGATGCTCTTTTGCGGGAAAAAGTACGGAGAGATTATCAGACACTTATGCGAAATCTAAATCATCTTGCGCAGGAAGAACGTAAACTGAAAGCTAGTCAAATTCCATCCAATGCAGACGAAGATACGCAGATGCGATTATGCCAGAGAAAGAAATGCCAAGAAGAACATCAAAAGAGATTGAATCGTGCAGCTAAAAAAGTTTTGGATACAGAACGTATACCAAGCCAATACTCTCATCTGACGGAAAGAGTGATTACTTTACCAACGCAGAGGAAAGATAGGACATGCAATGTACCTCATTCCACATGGGAAGACCCCCATCTTCAAGAGGAAACAGATATTTGTCATACACAAGAGGATAAAGATAGCGAAATGTCGCGTGAAGAGCAAATATTGGATATGCTGAAAAAAGTCGAGAGACAAAAGAGATTGCTGCTGCAAGAGTTTGGTGCAAGCTTGCCAGATGATATATTTAATGCCAGTGTAAAGTCACTGTTTGAGGACAGAAGACCAGCTGAAACACCACAAGCTGCAGATACTGCCAAGCCTTTATCACCTGAGATTAAAGTCATAAATATGTCCGGTAGTGACGAGTCTGTGAAAAAGGATCGCAAAACGAAGAAACGAGATAAATCGCCCGTGAAAAAGATTGAGATTGCTGTACAGGCAGCACTGGACAAAACTAGTCCAGCGGAGAATAAGAGTGTACAAGTAGAATTACCTCAAGGAAATACAGATATGCCACATTCCACTACAGACACAACTTCACAGATACCTCATCCAATTGAACCAAAAATTACTATCATTACGCCAGAGACAGATAACAGTAGTAATGATTCATCGAGTTCTGAGATGAGTGGGATGATTATTGAAATCGACAAGAAAGAAGTGATTGTAACGCCTAAAAGAAAGACAAGTAGCGTAAGAGTGTCGAAACGACCATCGCCACGGATTTACCAAAAGATCCGTTCAAAGTCAGTTAGTTCTAAAGCGACGTCACCTATGAAGAGGTTCTCGAGATCTCAGCCAGGCTCTCGCTTAAGTAGTCCTCAGAAGAAGACAAAATGTCCGGATGCGCCGGATACAGCCGGAGAGAGAAGAAGAGTCGATATACACGTAAGCCAATCTGCATTCAACGATGAAACAGATCCATCCCAAGAAACGAGAGTATCGATAGATGCCAGTGCGGAAAGCTCGCAGACATATTCAGGCGTGAACGATCAAGATCAATCTGCAAGCAAACCATATCGGGTACGGACGCAAATGAAGAGATGGATTCGAATAAAGGACACGTCAGACACGTCGACATCATTCGCAAGCCCGCCACCGATGAAACCTAAATCAATGTTCGATGCTTTGACTAATGTTACACCGATCTTGGAGATGTTGGATGCCTCTAGGCCTGAGGAATTGAGAAGATTACGACAAGACATCAGTCCGGTTTCCACACCGGAGACTCCTTCGCCACGTACAATGATGATGCCATCGAACATTCCACACCGTGATAGGATTAGCAGAGTACTTAAATATAATTCGAATGATTGTCAAACCAATGACAGTGCTATGTTTTCGTCGACACGACAAGATCAATCTACATTAACGGAACCATCGGATATTTACCAGCAAGAATCTGCGACGTCGGAATATCTACCTATTTCACAACGGCCATCAGTATCGTCTAAAGTCTGCATATGCAAAAATCCCAAATGCAAATTGTTGCATACGAAACTCGATGATATTCATGATTATGCCGCAAAGAATTGTCCTGAAATATTGCAAAAGTACGAGGATTTACAGAATTTATGCACGGAAAGAATAGCATCTCTAACTGATCTCATCGAAAAAGTACGAACTGAACAGAAAGGTAAAGTATTATCAAAGAATTATTTAATATGTATAATTCTGATTTGGTTATCTACATTATAAAATTTTTGTATGCTTTGTATGTGAAGTTTAATTAATTATTCTAAATTCTCTTAAAATAACATTGATGATATGTACATGTATGTGTTAAAACATCATTTTTATGTGGCATAGAACAACATTACATATTTATTGCAGGTATGGATTTTTCTCTAATTGCTCCAAGCGACGAAACCAGCTTAATGCAATTATCTTCACGATTAATGCGTGACGACGAACAAGCAGTGCGCAGACTGATTGAGAGTATAGAAGCAATCCATGCCCAGCTTGCAAAAACTCTCCTTGAATCCCAAAGGTTTGTAGGGAGCGAAGCAGTCCCACAGGATGGATCTTCACGTGACGCGGAAGTCCAAGCGACCACTTCTACTCCCAGAAGTAAATTAGTAGATACAGTTACAGCACATGTACAGAAATCCGAAATAGTAAAAGGCAAAGCTAAGCCAAAGATTGTAAGTGATGAAAGAGTTAATATACAGCTTAATCGATTTAAAATGCAGCAAAAGCCTCAAGCAATGCCTGCAACAAGAACGTCAGAACGTAATTCTTGGCCGCCGTATACACTTCCTCTTCGCGAAGAGGAGATAATAGAAAAATTGTCGAAAGAGATTTTGGAACAAAGCAAAAGCCTGGACAAAGCAAGCAGCGCCTTTGTATCTTTAAAAGGAACTGATGAAATCTCTGCACAGCATAAAATGTCTCCTAAAGATATTAGTCTAAAAAAAAGCATCTCATTAGAACGCGAAACGGACAATAAAGCTACAAAAGAAATCGCTCCTATTCAAGAGGTAAATTGTACATTTTCAGTTATTGGATAAAAATATAAAAAAATATAGGAAAAGACATAATATTTCTACAAATTCGTTTATGTATATTATATTGAGACACAATTGTTATATATTATTTTTTATACGTATTTTCAGGTAACAAAAGAAAACGATTTCATTCCTATGTTAACTGGCATTCCCAAAACGCGCAACACTGTAACATCGATAGGTGCAAGGCCTAAACCTCCTATTACATTGCTAAATGGAATATACAGGTAAAATCAATGAAATAATTTTTTTATACAAGTGTTCGAATTACATTTTTATTTAAAATTTTTTTATATTTCACAAACTATGCTGATCATTGTATTTTATTTGAAATATAGGCCAGAATTAGAATCAGGGCATGAGTTATCAACGATAGTGGAATTTGATACAACGGATACAGTTAGTAAAAGCGTCAAGAGTCCGACAAAATCTAAGCCGTCCGTGCATGTGGCTCCATTACCCGTGCAACAGAATCAAAATTCTTTGCCGAAATTAATAGATCCGACATCTAACATAAAACGTTTTGACGAAAAGTATTTTTCTACGCAAAGTTCACAGGAAACCACAACTATCTGCAGTTCTCCTGAAAAGATAAAAAATATGGCCGATTGCCTCTCGGCAACAAAAACTGAAGCTGAGCGAGAGAGTACACTTGAAAAACACAACAAGCAATTACAATGTACACCGACACATGCTACAACTACAGAAGAACCTATTTCTCAAGCGAAAGATAAACTCGATTCTTCTATAAGTACCGATCTTAACAATCTGCATAAAGATGGTAAATACAAAACGACATCTACCAGTTTGTATAGTTTTTCCGGATTGTCTGGCATTTCCGAAATAGCGAGTTCTCCATCGTCAGATGTTCTGAAGAATGTTTCATCTCCGGAAGAAATGGAAACTGCTCTAAAAAAATTAGGTCTGGGCTGGGCCGTCACGACATTAAAGAAAACTCGAGAAGCAAGTGCTCTTAGTTCATCTTCAAATTCCGATGTTACACCGGTAAATACAGGTAGAAGAATGATTTCTCCCGGTAAGAAACATGATCCAAGCGCACTTCCTGAAATCAGTGACGTATCGTCGATATCGATTAAAGAAGCTAGCAAGAGTACTGAGCAAGCTGTGCTCTTAAAAGGAAGGACTTCTACGCCTAAATTTCATAATTCTAATTCTAACAGTGACGGATCCAGTACTATACATACATCTGGGAGCATTCAAGATGCAAGTGATAGTTTAACTGTACCTAATGTGTCACTTACAAAAACAAAATCTGATAATAAGCTATTACAAAATCCCTGACATAAAGTGTTTTTTATATATAATTTTATTATTTACTTATTACAGGTATATCATATGATATTTCTTATATTTGGGGTTTTACAGGGAATTAGTTATGAGATACGATATTTTCAATATGGGACCATTTTTGAATGTTAATATATAAATGACTTTTATCTTGTACAATAACGATTACAACGAAGAGTGTACTTATACTTTTGCTACAAGTATAAATTATATAAATAAGCGTAAGATAAGGAGGACTACATTCCTAAATAACATAAAAGTCTATAAGATGTGGAATAATTTGGATATCTTTAAATTTGTTATCTGGCTTGCACTAAACGAACAAGATAATGTATTGCAATCGATATTCTTAATATCTTATGACTGGACATAAGAAAATTTGGAAAAATTTCTTTTTTATTTTGTATTATTTTACTTGATATGAAATTGTTTGAAATCATAAAACTAAAATACTTACTAGTTCTATATTATGATTGCAAATGGATGAAATTGAAAAATGTTGAATTATGACTATCATGTTCAGATTAGCAAGATGTACTCTAATAATTTGAAACATGAGATTATCGATTTATTGTGTTAAGAGTATGAAATAAAGACTGAGAGCAATATTAAATGCATATGGCTTGTAAGAAATGTATTATTTGTAAAATAAGAAAGCTAGAGATAGACATTTAAAAAAACAGAAGATCTATATGAAGTATGTGCCTACAAATCTGCATTCTGATTTTATATATATATACTTTGTATTTTTTTTAAATATATATATATATATATGAATATTTATCTGGTTTTTTTTTCTATGAATTTAATAAAAAGATAAAAAACCGATATAATATTATATACATTTGATTAGATTTTAAAATGTATTAATTTGCATAAAATGAAAGATTTACAATAAATATAACAAATGATTTCTGTCATGTTTGGTATTTGACTAATAAAAAAGTAAAAAATATGCTTTATATGAAATATTTAATTAATCGTAAATATATAAAATAAATATATAAAAAATTGAGCATTTTATTTAAAAAGCAAAGTATTTTAATCTAATCCACATGAGACATGGATTAGATTAAACCACTATAGTGGCGGTGTTTAACAAAGTACTAGAACATTAGAGACGTGATGGTGTATATTTGTTAAATATTATATTTTAAATATTTTAATTGCTTGAAATATTTATACTTATCTATAGTAAACTTTCATTTCTCAGATATCAATCATTTTTCTTCCCTCTTTGAATGTGGCGGTTAGTCTCGTCACATTTGCTCTCGACCAATCAGCAAAATGTCGGAAAATGTCCGGACCTTTACTTGATCTCTATCGCAAGAGTGAGTTATATATACAGAAGGCAAAGAGGCAATACTCACAGTGGCGACGATATACACGTTCATGATGTAAAGAGATATGCTTAAAATGTTGTACATCAGCGGTATACACTTTTATCCACGATTGCTTCGCGTTTTTCAATACATGGGCTTCACTCAGCACGCTTAACGTTTGTCGATTGAGAATCACCGAGCTAACATTAGACGACTAACATCAATTCGGATGTTGCAGAGTTTCATTCAGTGCCAAAGGTGAGGAATTTAATTCAGCGGGATACAAGCCAGGCTACAGGAGAGAAATCCATATTGACGGAAGAGAGCTGTATCCAATGTGCAACGCATCACGATCGTGCTTCGTCGGAACGCCAAACCTGATAATAATTAGCAGACTCGCCGAATCGTCTCACACGTAGCCGTCCGAGCACTCCGTTTAAGTGGATTTCTTATCCCGTATTTCATAGATATGTCGGCAAATTGAAAATTTACGGAACGGCATTTATCTGGAAGCGGATATTAAGCATCCTAAACAATGAATTTTGTTCTGGATTTACTGCATGTAGTTTTAGAATCATACGGTGAGTAAGCTATGGTTGCTGTTATTATTGTTTATTCAAGGCTCAGACGCACACAACCCTATAAAAATTATACTTGTCTTCCTAAGAATGGCTATCAATGACAGGATATCTGTTTTATAATATGCTATTGATTTGAATGGTTTATAATTTTTCAAGAATTTTTATAATTTATTTATATATTATTGCTTATAAATCAAACAGCAATCTTAAGATAGTTGTAATAGATAAGAAAAGATAGAGATAGAGAGCAATACATTATGAAATATATAGCTTTTGAAAAATTTGCTTTGAATTAAAAGCTATATATTTCTATAGCAAAAAATTGCTTCGAATTAAGACATGATATTTTTAGAAGCTTCTCAATTTAAATATTTGTCAATTCTTTTATTTTTTATTTACAATTTTGTTTATGTAATCATGATGTTTAAAGCGTCTTTATATAATTAAAGAATTTTTTTTAGAAAATTGTATTACTAGTAGATTTTCTTAATATTTTATTTTATATGCAGTAATTCTTTTTCTGTTTTTAATTATACAAGGAAAAGTAAAAGAAATATTTTTAATTGATTTGAGAATCAAAAAACTTCTTTTACTTTTTGATATTGCTTAGTAGTAGATATGATAGAGCAGTATTTTCTAGAATACATGAGTTCTTTAGAGCTTCTGTTCAACACATTGTTATTCAAAATTTCTGATATTGCAAGATTGATCTATCACATAAGCAGCTTAATAATAATGGAACACTGCTAGACATACGTATATTTGTATAATATTCTAATCCAGTTGATTCAATCCAATGAAAATCCATATTTCTTTTAACAAGTTGTGTGTTAAATTTAATTATTTCAGACTGAGAGTATATATGGAATCAAAATGGCACGCAGACGTAAAACCGAAGTAAAAGCATCTGAAAAAACATCCCATAAACATGTACCTGTACGCAAATCTAGTAGACAAATAGCTAAAAAGCAGTTGGAAGAGAAGAAAATAAATGGAGTCATTATACCAACAGTTTCTGAAGACTTAAAGCCCTTTGAAGACTCTACATCCACCAGTGAAGATAATATCCAAGTTGTTTCAAAGAAGAATCAAAAGTCTCAGAGGAAGAATAGCAAGCATAAAGGTACCTCTAGTAACAATGTAGTTGTAAATAGCGAGAATGCTGCATATAATGCTTCTCAATGTAAACGAGACGCCAGCGAAAGTGACAGTCAAGATACTGTAGATAATACAATTGACAAATCAGGAAAACTCAGCCCAGAGAATGTACAGCAGGCTGTTGTCCTTAATCCAAGCAATGAGTCTTTACCTGCATCCGCACCGATGTCATCCGAGGTAGAAATGTGGTCGGAGGATGTCGTAGAGGAAACAATAATCTGTGAAGAAATGGAAGTGGAGGAGAGTGTTGCAGACAATAGTTATTCCTTGGCGCAAGATAATGCTATGAATGAACAAATATCGCATGAATCTAATTTAGATGACAAGAATTTTACGGAAGTTACTGTGATACAAAATAAAAATGATACCGAATCCATGATAGTAGAATCTGAATCAGAGAACATTGCGAATAATAAATGTCGTGCTATTCCACAAAATGCTAATAGTGTACATAAACTGGAAAATTCCATATCAATTACACATACAGATAAATCAGTAACTTCTAGCAGTGGCAATTATAATACTACAGATTCTAATGCAGGTAAACCTTATATTAATAAAAAGAAAATAGTATTAGAAGATCGAAGTGGTAAAAAACAAAAGAATAACAAAACAATTTATGATAAAATAAAAAAGGAAATTTCAGAGTCAATATCTGATAAGATTTCCATGTGTTCTATCAAAGATCATTCTGGTTTTTCTAACAAGGAAGATAATTACAAGGAAGAAAATAAAGTTTTAGAAACAAAAACTGCGCGTGTAGATTCTGCAAAAGAAGACATTTTAAACAAAATAGATAATAAGTTGGCAGATATGCAGATAAGTGAATGTTCAAAGGAGATACAAAAGTTGGTGAATGATCTCTCTAGTATGGAAAGTATTGGCTCTCCGGTGCAACCTCCTTTAAATACAGAAAAACTGTCGCCAGTAGATATCGATGATGAAAGCAGTTCGTCGATATTAGATAAAATGGAGCAATTGCATCGTCCAAATCATTCTGTTGGTTCTCACGTTACAGAGATATTTTCAAAAATTGTAGAACCGAATAACATTATTAAAAATCAAGAACAAGATATTTCAAAATCCGATTCTTGTAACGATAAAATACAATATACCGATCGAGTTTCGTTAAAATCGAAAATCATACAGGACAAGAAATACACAAGTCAGCAAAAGAACATTGAACATTTAACAACTATTGACGAATATCAGGATAGTGAAAAAGATAATAAAGTCGACAATGAAGATCTTAAGTTATGTAGTAGCAGTGAAAATAGTAACGACACATTATTATCATTTACTAATTGTAAAGGACCAGAGTTTGATATAAAAGGTGTAACCAGTAACTCAAGTGATATTGATAAAAAAGGTGAATTCAGACCTCGTAGTGGAAGCACTGATACAACAGGTTCTGAAAGCGGTTCAAACAGTTCAGGCGTGAGACGAAGTAGCAGAATTCGATCTATAGGACTGATGAAACAGAGGTATAAAATCAAGTACTTTAATCTTGAAATGTAAAAAAATATATATATTATAATAGATGGGATCGTGTTTTTAAGAATTTAAACAAATAATTTAGTTTAGAAAGAAATTATTTTCTAAAATAAGATAAAGCTCGTAACATGAAAAAAAAATCTATTTATTTCTAGGTCTCGTGGACGTGTGGTTACCAAGCCTAACATAGATGTCTCAAAAGTAACTCTTCAGCAAGAGAAAGAAAAAGTAGTTAATAATATAAATTCTTTAGTTGTTCAAGAAGTAAAAGTAGAAAATGCTGAGACGCAAAGCGATAAAGAAAGTAATTCTAGTAAGATATCAACATTGCTTGATACATTAGCACCTTTAAGCGCTAATTATAATACTACAGGATATGATTCTGATTCTTCAAAACCGGTTAAAGTAAAATCCCGTTGGCGAAGATCCAGTGAGCTTGAAATGGGTGGTTCAAGTGCAGGATTTGGATCTGTCATTGCTCCCATTTCACTTGGATTATCTGTTACACCGACATCTGAATTAGGACGCAGTGCGACAGTGAATACGGGAGAATCTACATCATCAGAATCGAAATGTAACATTACTAGCACAAACGTAAAAACGGAAACAGAGCCGATTAAAGATGCAACAGTAGCATCTAATAACGTATCGACTGTTTCAAACGCAGCGCCGCTAATTCCGAAAACCATAGGAGCAAAGATTTCCTTGCCGATGCTTCTTGAAGCAGAGAATCGAGAAATGGAAGAAAGATTAAGTCAATTTGAGCATTTACGTGAAAATTTATATCTTACTGAAAGGTAATTAGGAATCAAGACATTAATATAATTTTATTTGCTGTACTTGAATACTGCTTCTCGCAGTCGCATACATAATTATAATATTAAATATTTACAACATTTGTTATGTGCCAGATATACGAATAAGGAAACTAAGAGAATGGTGTGTGACTGTTTTTTAACTGAAGATGATATTGAGAGAGGAGAACTTGGTTGTGGGGAAGATTGCCTTAATAGACTTCTCATGATAGAATGGTAAATAACTATTTTTAATAGAAATGTAATTTTTTTTTATAATTCGTATCTATATGTACTGCATGAAGAGATAAACGATAAAGCGATAATATTTCCATATTTATTACAGCGGACCTAGATGTGTAGTAGGTGGCAGATGTACAAATAAGAGATTTCAGAATTGTGAATATGCCAAATGTGAAGTGTTTCGTACGGAGAAGAAGGGTTTTGGATTACGCGCGGTTGTCGATATATTGCCGTGAGTGAAAGATTCCAAGTAAATAAAATATTGAAACTAAATGAAAAAAGATTTCTCACTTTCACGTCGTACTTACAGAGGCGAATTTATAATGGAGTATGTAGGTGAGGTCGTGGATCCGAAAGATTTTAGACGCCGTGCAAAAGAATATTCCAAAGATAAAAACAGACATTACTATTTTATGGCACTGAAATCTGATCAGATTATAGACGCAACTATGAAAGGGAATATATCGCGATTCATCAATCATAGCTGTGATCCAAATGCGGAAACGCAAAAAGTAAGTTTGTAAGAAATTAATAAAAATTATTTCTTGATTAAATTTTTACGATAACACGTATTTTATTAATGAATAAATTCTTTACAGTGGACTGTAAACGGAGAATTGCGAATAGGATTTTTTAACAAAAAGTTCATAGCTGCTGGAGACGAAATTACATTTGACTATCACTTTCAACGTTACGGGTATGTTTCTCAGTAATATATTTTTAATTTTTTTACATATTGTGTACATTGTATATATGTGTATCTTTGTTTTTACTTATGTGTATGCGATTTATTTATTAGCAAAGAAGCACAGAAATGTTACTGTGAAGCACCGAACTGTCGAGGTTGGATAGGTGAAACGCCTGAAGAAGAAAAAGAGAAGATTGAGAAGAAAGAGAAGCAAGAAAGCGAGAAAGATGTCAAGAAGAAGAAAGAAGAAAAGAAACCTGCTGATTATATGGAAGATGAGGATGTAAGTATCGTACAAGTTACAAGAATAATAAGGCTGTTAGGCAATAACTTTTTCATTACTTTGTCTTTTTATGTCTTTATTTTAGTTGGAGGAAGAAATAGACAAGTTGTGCTCAGCTGGTTTGAAAAATCGTGTGCACACGTTAACATTAAGTAGATTAATGGTTCGCAGCAGAGAATTAGAACACAGAACGCGCCTGTTACGTCTCATACAAAGTGGCGAACAGCCCTGCCGAAGATTGTTCTTGGATTATCATGGATTGCGCTTGGTTTGGAGTTATGTCATGGACATTTCTACAAATGAGTCCGAAGAAGCTCAACAGTTTCGTTTAGAAGTGTTAAAAACCCTAAGTACACTGCCAATACCGAACAAGACAATGTTGATGGATAGCAAAATATATGGTGTAATCGAAAGATGGGCGAAAAGATTATATCTTTCGCCGAATACCGATTCTCCGGAGGACGACCAGATTAAATCAAAGACGATTTGTGAAGAATCGAACAGTAACTTCGATAGCAATGATAAGAAAAGTCCTGATGAACGTCTGAATGACATTCCAGATAAGCGTAATAACAATATCGAAAGTTGCTTGGCAGTTAACGAAGTTAAATCAGAAAGCACGGAACAAAGTCTTATTCCCGATTTAGCTTCTAGTCTTCTTGTTGAATGGTCCAATCTGAAAGAAGTTTTCAGAATACCGAAGAAAGAAAGGATCGAGCAAATGAAGGAACATGAAAGAGAAGCAGGTTGGTTTCGTTTAACATAAAAGTATTAAAAAATAAAATTTCGTTTTATTTAATTTTTTTTTTTTAATTTTTGCCGCAGATCGAGGATATAGAGAAGAATTAGAAAAGGAAGAAAAGAGAAGCACATCGTATGATAGGTACGTAATGTATCATGTATTAGTAATGTGCAATGATAAATAAATTAAGTTAAATATTTCGATTTATCATTAATTGATTTCGTAAATTCTTAGACATAGATCTGATAGATACAGCCGAAGTGAGGTAGACAAACGTGGTGACAGGAGACGAGGACGAGAATCTCCAGAGGCTGAGCACAGCAGGACGAAGGATAAAAGAGTAGAAGAACGAAGCAGTCTAGTTCCCATACCACGAATGACAAAATACGAACGTAGACAATTATTCGCACTGAAAGTCGCGAAAGAAGAGGAAGAAAGGCAACGCCGTCAGCAACAAGAATCATGGCAAGAGCATGAGAATAGATGTTTGGCGTTGGGTATAGATCCTCACGCCACTGCCATGGTTGATCCCCAAACTGGCTATCCTATTTTTTACAATTCAACACTAGGCCAATGGCAACATTATTCCACTCAAGGTCCTATTTATTAATATTTCTGCAGAAGTGTTTGATTCTTAAAATAATTTCTACATATATTTATATCTTTTTTCACAGACGGGGGAGAAGTAACGCAACAATGCACCTCTGTATATGTAGGAGGCTCCCAATCTACCGCTATAGTAGGCCAGAGCTCTCACGTGCTGTCATCAACGATGACATCCGATATATCATCCGGAATTACAACTGGCATCCCTTCTGGTGTGCCATCAGTAGTTTATTCATTAAATCAAACGCCTGTGTTCAATCAGACATCTTCCTATTCCTTGGTATCACATCCGCAACCATATTCCGATGGGCAACTGTCTCTTCCAAATAGTTCAGTATCTGTTTTAGCGACATCCCTTTTGTATCAATTCAACAAACGCCTTACAATGATATAATTTGATCAAAAAATTTGCAGATCAACAATTTCCCAATCTCACGTCTGCGGAAAATGCTACGACGAATCGGCCACCGCAACCTGAAATTCCGCCAATAGATTTGCCACCGAAATGGAAGAGTGCAACGGATAGCAGAGGTAGAATATACTACTATCATGTAAAGGATAGAATATCGCAATGGCTACCTCCACCGCCCGACCATATCGGAGTGCAGCCAGATTCATCATCTAGCGAAGAATCTAGCGAAGAATCTAGTTCATCGAACGAGGATGACGAGGACATTGATGATGATCATAATGAAGATCAAAAGAATGATGATGTCGAGGCAAGTAGCGTTGTAACAGAAAGTCCTTCGAGCACATCTAAACCAAATATACCTAAAAAATTAAGTACTCCTTTGACTGGAAATACACTGCCAGTTCCTGAGTCTAAGAAGAGAAGAGTTGGACTGGTTCAAGAAAGAATTATTAGTGTAAGTATTATTTATTTATTTTATATCAACATTAATAAACAATTTCTAAAAGGTTACAATAAAAAAATCTTGGAATTTTTCACAATATTATTTAATTTGTTAATGCAGATTATATGGATTTAATATAGATTGTTAATACAGTTAATTTAGAGTTAAAATTTGCATAACTTGTGCAAATCTGACAGTTTTTATCTATATTTGATACAATCTGTATATAATTGTTTATATTACAGCCACGTAGGGAAGAGGATCGTGTTGATCATAAGGTATATAAAGAAATAAAAGAGAAATTACGTCGACAGAAGGAAAGAGTAAAACTGAAAGACCATGCTGAGAAGCTAAGGAAGCACAGACGAAGTAATAAATCGAAGTCTCATTCGCGACATGGATTGAACAAGCTGCAACCAATATCAGCCGACATGTCTCCTACATCTGAAAGGAAGATTAAGGATACGTTTAGAATAAACATGGCTAATGTAATGGTTCATTTCTTAAATCCATATAGAAAAAATGACTGCAAGCAAGGCAGAATAACTAATACCGAAGATTTTAAGCATCTAGCTAGAAAGGTATGTTGAGTTTTTACCTTAACATAAATTATTGTAACTTATAATAGTGCTTTTCATGATTGCATATTCTTTTACAGTTGACACATTTTGTACTTGCGAAGGAGTTAAAGCATTGTAAAAGCGTAGATGAGTTACAATGTAATGAAAATGTTAAGTATAAAGCAAAAGACTTTGTACGTAAGTACATGAGCAAGTTTGGCGCAGTGTATCAGAAGGGTACAGACGAGGATTAGCTGTGTAATTTATAAAATAAAATTGTTATTTATTGCGCGAGTTCTTTACTTCAATTATTGTGAGATATATTTAGATAATGCTCGTATGTAGATACATTTCTAATTGTATTACTGTAAAATAGACAAGTTTGTATATGACGTTTACTGGGTTGCTGTTGTATGTGTGCGCGCTCTCTCTCTCTCTCTCTCTCCTCCCCCCTGACATGAATAACATTTATAAAAATAAAATAAATTTTGCATTTATAAATTTTATTTTGTATTATCAGTATTTTATTTACATGATACAAAAATTAATTCTCTGATGTGTGACTTTCAAAATGGAAAAAAGCAATGTAAAGTTTTAAATAAAAAAATTCCATGTTTATAATATTAATTATTTATCAATTGCAGTCGTCAGTTTTTTAATTAGCATTGTCCAAACACTCAAAAAGTAATTCATTTTAATAATTTTTCTACAAGGAAATAAATATTTTGAAATTTGTGATTTGTATGTATTAACACTCAAAAATATTTTAATGAAAGATTTATAAATCTTTTAAGCATAGTTTAATTTACGCTCATTGTTGATTCATTTATTAATACATACATTATTCGGTTATACAATAATATTGTTAAATCTAATCTGTTTGGATAGATCATTACTATCATTATCATCAATATATTTTTCTTCTGAAAAAGGCTGCGAGACGCCAGATTTGAGACGCAAGAAGAAAGCAGCGTGAGAAAGGAAATACCGTACATGCGCAAGCCACATGCATGTGTGCGCAGCGCTTCGGCTAGTTTCAAACACTAGAAAAGAGCAGCATACTATTTCCACCTCCTTTCTTACGTCCATTTTAGCCGGGATTCTTCGCAATTGTAAAGGCTGATGGCAGAGAAAAACGTAAGTCGTGAAAGGCTATTGTGCGAATACGTTTCTCGATTTACGCTTTTCTCTGCCTTACCATGTGTCCATGACTACGACAGACATAAGTGCTTACGTCTCGTTCTCTGCCATCAGCCTAACAGGAACACATGATGATATAGGAGCCATAGGAGCTCACTCGGAGTAGTGCTGTCATCTTTTGGTTAGCTACAACAATTACTAACAACTGTACATGATGGTAAGTGTACCGACTGATCTAATCAAGAGTAAGCTCCTATATCATCATGTGCTCCTGTTAACTCCTTTTAATTTCTTGACCGACTGATCTAGTCAAGAGCAAACTCCTATATCATCATGTGTTCCTATTAACTCCTGTTAATTTCTTGAAATTCCGGCTAAAATGGACACGTGACGTCAGCGGGTCTCGGTTGTGTGCGTATGGAGTTCTTCGAGGCAAACTGGCAGTTCTAGTCGGAAACGTCTAAAGCATGGGTAGTTTATGATACACCAAGAAAAGAGTATATATCGTTTATTTGTGTCCAACAAAGATATTAATGTTAAATGCTTTAAGGTAAGCTCATTAAAATAATAGTATTTGTAAGTAATAATGTAACAATCATTTATTACTCATATAATATGTTATTTCATATGAGTTAAATGTGCACTCTACTTAGCTAACCTAAAAAAGATTCTAAACTTTACATATCCAAAGTTAATAAAGAAAATAAAACGTATTTTATTTTATTTAATGATTAATCTGCAATATGATTATATTACGTCAATTAAATGATTTATTCTACATTGTTCATTATTCTGTAATAAAAAATTGTAATCATGTTTTAATTATATATCTGTATAATGCTGATTTAATACTTAAATTGATCGACACTATATATACACGTTACATAAATGATATATATACATAATATACGTAGAGCATTTTATAAAATAATCTTTACAAACAGCAAAAATTGCAAATCTAATTAAAATAATTTAGAAAATAGGTACACAAATAAATAATTTTTTTATTATTTTAGAGGATTAGTTAAATGTATTTATCGTAAGGAACATTAATAATATAAATATTTCAGAAATATTTCTATAAAATATATTCCATTTTATATGCGCATAATGGATGTGTTAGAGCCAGAATTAATTTGGGTTGATGGACGATGCTATAGATTTTATGAAAGTAGTGTTTGGAAAAATACTCATACATCAGCCCCATATATGGAAGACAGAGAATCTGTTTGTTCAGAAGAAGAATCTGAAACTGATATAGAAATAACATTTAATGATACACGGTTACAACATAGCTTTTACGTACCCAAGTGAGAACTTTTTTTAAATACATTATTTTAACATAAGCATAGCTTATATTATATTATTCTTTATTGCAATATTTAGAATCTTCCACTCATATATAATTGGTGCAAAAGGTTTAGTACTTAAGAAATTGGAAAATGAGACAAACACAACTATAGAAGTACCAAGGAAGGGAAAAGATGGAAATATTGGTAAAAATAATATATTACATTATTAATAAAACATGGGAATAATATTATTAATAAAACATGGGAATAATATTATTTTAATTTTTAATGTTATTTGTAATTTCTGAATGTATATCTGTTGACAGTTATTACTGCACGGGATCGTAAAGCTATAATATCAGCAAGACATAGAATTAACTTGCTAGTAGAGACTTCGAGGAAAAAGATACGTTACACACATTTCTTATCGATTCCATTAAATAAAAAGGAAATAATTGATAAATTCAATTCTTTCAAAGATGATGTGTTGGAGAAATATGGCAAAACTGCATATAATATTGATGAATCACTTTTCCAAGATCCATCTAAATTGCATCTCACTATTGGAATGCTCAAATTGCTTGATATTAATGAGAAAACTCAAGCAATTGATGCTCTCAAGATTTGTAAAGAAGAAATTATAAAGTAAGATAATATTGACTTATATGAATAATAACAATATATAGTATATAATAAATTACAAAATTAAATTATATAATATATATTTTATAATTCACTACAAATATAATAATTGATGATTTATTTCTAATAATTTATATAGGATATTTTACTTATAAATCAGTCATTTTTAAAGAATTCTTAAATAATTACATAATCTATTGCAGTCCTATTCTTAAAGAAACTGACTCAATAAATATACAATTACAAGGAGTTGCATGTATGAATGATGATCCCACTGAGGTTAAAATTTTGTATGCACAAATCGCTCACAATGAAAAATTACAAGAGCTTGTTGATAAAGTTGCAAATTATTTTCTTCACATAGGTAAATTACATAATCATCAGTATTACTTCGGAGCTATTCTGAAAATATACAACAGCCATAGAACGTTAATATTGGGCACAGTATGACATATTTACTTCAGTTTTTTAGCAAAGGTTTTCTTTGGATAGTACTTCAAAAATAGATTGACTGTTTTGATAATATAATTTTTTCTTCTATGTAAAGTAAGATATTAAATGGAAAGAAATTTTTAAACATTTATAAGAAATTTTTTATTATGTCAAATGATTGAATAGCTCTGATGTATTTTATATTATATAGATTGAAATGTCTTTTTAGCACATATAATATTGTGCATTATCAAAATAACATCTATAATAATTTCTTAGTTATTATGTAGTTTTGTAAAATACACATTTTTATATATAAATATAAGTTATTTTAATGTCTCATACACTAATACATATTTTTTAATTTTAGGTTTAAAAGAAAATGAATATGAAAAAGTAAAATTGCATGCCACTCTAATGAATACATCATTCAAAAATGATTACCAAGCAAGATTTAAAGATAAATATAATGCAAGCGAAATTCTAAAAGTAATAAAACATTTTTATACATATAGTTTCAAAACCAGTAATATAACTAAATAATAGTAATAGAACTAAATAATTATTTTACATTTTAGGTTCACAAGGACACATTCTTTGGGGAAACAATATTAAATCAAATTGATATATCTGAACTTAACACTGCTACCAAAGGTAGTTACTATAAATCAATATGTAGCATTACTTTTTAAATGCAAAAAAACATAATAGTAACAATAATTTATTTTATTTATTGATGTATTTTTATCGCAAAAAAAGTTAGTTAAATGTATAATTTAACTATAGCAATCTTCTTATGTTACTATTTTATTCATATTTTTTATTTTTAATTAGATACAATAATGGGTATCTTGTGATTAAAGATATATAACTTGTAATATTAAATAGATTTAATAAACAAATTAAAAATGCATATTTTTATTATTTTTTATATTTATATTTTATTTTAACTCTGGTATCTAATCATGTTGATTTAGATTTATCCATTGGACACTTTTATTCACAAAAATAATCCAGAATTAATTTCAAATTGTAAATTTGTAACAATTGATAATAGAATTATCAAAATTTATAGTTGAGAATTAAATATAATTTATAAATTTTAGAAATTTGAGAGAAAATTTTAAAAATTGAAGTCCAGAAATTATTGTAAAAATTTATATGTAGAATGATGCTTATAAAAGATGATTGTCAAAATGTTATATAGAATTTTTTAATGTATTTTTAAATAAAAATTAAAAAAGTTAGTTTTTTATATTAGAGGAAAAATAAAAAGTTACAAAATTAAATTGATATATTAATGAAGATTCCTGCACACACATGAAAATATAATTAGATCTGTGTGAAGGAAAGAGTAAAAAAATTAATATTATATTTTTAATGAAAATTTTATAAGAAGAAAAAAAGATAAACTATATTAAAATTCCAATTTGTAATTTAATTATGGAGACATATAATGTAGAGATATTTTAATGTGGAAGATTATAAAATTGATAAATGATTTCTCCCGACCTGTTTTTCGTTGAGGAATATGAATTTTTAATTGACCGGAAAATCTTTCCTGAATATACTGCAATAATAGTAGGGCATCTTTTTAATTAATATTTGAATTGTTTACTAATTATGGATGTTTTGAGAACGCATGCGCATTAATAATAAGATAGTGTCACTATGTCAATAAAGTAGACGAATCAGAAGACACGATACTGGCCGAATTCTAATCCTACATTTTCTTTATCAAACGACTAACAAGCCTGTTTTCACCAGTTTTCATTTGTTTTTCCGAAACACTTAACCTCATTTCTGTTAATTTTGATTAAATATAATTAATATTTAGTTAAAACGTATCAAAGAGGTATAACATTTTTACATTTTATAAATAATGAATCGGTGGAAACGTATTATTTCTTATAGAAAGAGTAACAGATAATAAATAAACAAAGATATATTTTTAATTTGTAATTCTAAGAATAGAAGCCATGTGACCAATCTGAGATGTTTTATATCGTTTCATGTATGCTTAAATTATGAATATTGATGTTTATAAATGTGGAAAAAGTCAAGTTAGCACAATTTCTTTTTTAAATAAATAAAAGACATAACCTCTAAAACAAACGGTTTACATATTCATAAAGTAAATTCAACAAATTGAAGTATGGAAAGGTGATTTAAAAAAAATAAATTTATGCTTTAAGCTTAATATAGCATGCTCCGTTTAATATAATAATTTTTTAGTGCATATTATGTGTATTTTATACATATATTTATTTTAACATATATATATGTGTATAGCTAGCATTATAATATAACATTATATATTTCTAATTAAGTAGAATCATTTTTGCTTATTTATTATATTTTATTTAGCATTAATATTAATATTATTTTATTTAATATTAGCATAGCAAAAATGCATGGTGTCAGAAGAATATTAGTTTTCTGCACATTGATAACCATCTTGCCAACCATGCTTATAGCAATTCCTCTGTATCTACGGCATATTTTTTATGCAGATGTTGCATATGCTGTAACTGAATCTGATGTCATGGAGATCAACGATGGAATTTCAACAATATTTTGTTCAGTAAGAAAAAATATAATTTGATATTAAAGTTACTTAAAAATTTGATGTTACTTCCATGATTGCATACATATAAATATAATTCACACACCACAAATAATATAAAATTTTATATATTTATTAAACATGATAAGAATGCATGAATTAATATTGTTTATAACATTAAATAAAAGTGAATTGATGTAATATATTGTTCCCAATAATAATAATAATGTTTTATGTGAGCAGATTGTATGTGATAAAAAATTTATTTTACAGGAACATACTTTACAGATGAATAATACTTTTAATGCTTTTCAAACATCTCAGAAACCAGAAAGAACAACAAAACAGAAGCATATAAATTTAAAAAAGAGCATGAGTATAGCAGATGATTCATTAGAGTATTGGGGATTTTACTTACTTAAAGGTGCATCTGTATCACTCTCTGTATGTTCAAGGTAAGAAAATTAAAAAAACTAAAAAGTATTATTTGCAATAACAGAAAGATATAAAAGATGTATGTGTAATTTTATTTATTTGAGATTATAATATATTTATATACAAACTATTTATTTAGATTTGATGGAGCTTCTATCTTAGTGGTGAAAGGGGAAAGAAATTTACGTACTTGTGGTTTGTTGGAACATAATTTGAAAAAGGAACAAGTGCATGAAAATATGTTTTTACCAGGTGCAGACAAACAAGTTGAAGTAATATATGAATCAAATGCACAAGAAATAGATTCTAAGGAATCAAACACTAATGATCTTACGATCATAAACAATGCTAGTGATGTACATAAACCAATTATAAATGTAAGCCCCAGAAATTCTTCCAAAAGAAGTTTTGAAGTTCCTACAAATATAGATAACAGTACATGGGAATATACTACAGAGATTGAAAGAAAATTTAGAAAAGATTTAGAGGATCTGTATGAAACTGCAGCATCTTATGTTCACAAACATATAGGTGAACAAAGCGTGAAAAATTCTAGAAAATTGAGACATATTAAACGCAAGCTCAAAAATAGAACAATACGTAAATTAATAAAGTTAAAACGACAATTGAAATCATCTAGATCGATGGAGACTGAAGAAGATACTCAACAAAAAACAAAAGTCAAAGATAATGTACGTGTCAAAAGATCCATTAGAAACCGAGAACTCATAAAACCATCTTCCTTATTAGATCAGGGCATCAAACATGGTGGAAATACTGATAAAAACTTTACATCTATTTCTAATGAAGAATCATCTCTTTCCAGCTTTGAAACTGGTTTATTTAATTGCTATGATGGAACAATACTGTTAGCTCATGAATTTGAACCTTCTGATCAATGTACTAATACTTCCTATTTGCTCACCAAGAAGCACGTACAAGCAAACCACCATGTAGAAGAAGATGGTTACTATTATTATATTTTCTATAGCGACAACGACTTTGTGATCAACGATATTTATGCGATTTTTGATATACATAAGCCGACTTTCCAATATGTAAATGTGACTAAGGCATGTATTAATGAAACTAAATGCTCATTTTCTTTAAATATGTTATCAGCGGATAAAGTAATTGTCGAAATACCAACGAAGGATGGTATAGAGCATGATGAAAAAGATGACTTTAGCACTCTAATTTCTATTTGCCAGCCACGAATGGGCGCATACATGATTTTTCCAATTGCCATGCTATTCTTTATTCTTAGTTGCGCTTTCATGTGAATATAGAAAAGCCTATGGTTTTACTTATAGGTACCTGCGAAAATAAGTATATGCGAATTTTTAAAAGTACTGTTTAGTTCTAAGTATATTTTAGCAAGTAACAAACTCAAAGTACAATTTAAGTACACATTTTAGTAAGTAATTAAGTACATATTGATTAAAGATTTGTATGAAAAACAAAGGAAGAAAGTTACATTAAGTTTTTGACTGGATAATTTGTTAACTTAAGGGATAGGACCTAAAATTATCATCTTTTTATTTACAAATTGGCCTATGGAATCAATTGTTTTGTCAATTAAAATATCGAGGCATTTGTATCAATTAACGATTGAAAATAGTTTATTATCAGAAAAGGGCATGGGTAATAAAATAAAATTGTTTATTTCAAGTTAATTTCAATTTTAATAGTTTTTATAACTAAGATTTGAAGATTAGTTATAAAAAATATGTATTAAAAATTGAAAAACCATAACAAATGCTTCTATAATTTTTTTTTGACGTCTTTTTTAGAAAATTTCCCAAATTGATTTAAGAAAAACTGACCGAAGAAAACATTCCATAATTCTGAACATACAATCTTATGAGATTGAAATGTATACTCAAACATTAGGTAAATTTAAAGTAAAATTGTAAAATTTTTTTTTAGAACGCTGCATATAGATGTAATTTTTATAAATATGCAAAGTGAAATACATTACTTTTTATAACATCAAGACGTAAATTTATGTTTGTATGTTTTTGTATTACCTATGAAGCAATAAATATATTTTTTAATGCTATATTGAATATATAATTGTAACGGAACAATTCTTGATATTATTTTATCATAATTTTTTTGAATGTACATTTAAAGTTTACATGCTAATTATTTGAATTTGCCACGATAAACCCCACTATAAAATCGCAAAGCGTTATGGGAAAACGTCATTTCCGTCATGCGCAGTAGCAGATGATGGAGAAAATACCTAAAAAGTCGTTATAACAGCAAAAAAAATCGTCATATGGTCACTAGCAGTCATTGCGCATCAAATAGCATTAGGGCAATGCAAGATTCTCAAAATACGCTATTGTACGCAGTTTCTACACGAAGGTCTTTAAAATTTCAACACACCGTTCGCAGCGCCACAGTGCGGCAATTGCAAGAATACTCCTCGTGACGCCATAGGCACTCTTCCTTTCCGCTCAACCTCGCGTGTTGAACATGTCGCATACAGCAGAACGAAGGTAAGTTCAACGGTTTTTTTCGGCTTAACCGTGTGCCGCGTTCGCGTTTTAGCGTACTATTGAATTTCCGTGATGTTGGCGCCGTTGCCGATCTTGCGTATCGCAAAAATCGTGGGCACGAGGATTAATATACGTCCGCGAAAAGTAGTGTGCCGCAAGCGGACGAATGCACGGAGACACGAGACTGACAACATGGCGTGCATTCGTTTTTGTCACATTGCTCTCACGAGATTAACGAGCAATTCGTGCTGCTTCGTCGGCTAACCGCTTAACCTCTCAACGATCCCGCGACACAGGTCATGCCGATTTATCGAAGTGAGCGTGCACGGTAATTCGACGCCGTGCAGCCCGACGCCGTTAGCGCTGGGTGAAGTTCTCTCTCTTTCTCTCTCTCTCTTTCTTGTCCGTGTGCCACTCGGCAGGCGAACACGTTTTTCTATCCGGCTTTAAAATTACGTAATAAAATATCGGTTTTTCGCGCGGTTTTCCTGCCGAAAAATCAATCACGTTGACCTATGACCCGACGCCTTCGCACATTGCGAATGCATCGCTCTTGGGCTCGCACAGCAACATGTCTTACATTCTCTCGGGCACGCTTCCGCGTGAGTCACTGTCAAAGTAGGTACCACGCGAATTCTCATGCCGTTTCGGAGCAAAATCGATTTTATTTCACGCAGATATAAATTTGTTATATATGATACTTACAAGTATAAAAATGGCCATTGCATTATAGCTAATGAAATTTTGATGTATACTTGATGAGATCGATTAAAAAAAAAAAAAATTCGGATTTCAAGGTCACCTGAATTTAAAGTGATTTGTCATCGTTTGATCGTCGATATCGATATTATCAGTTCTCTATTGGTGTAGAATACTTTACATACCATACATTTTTATCAAAATGCGTTGATAAATTTATTGTACGAGTTTCGATCGTTTTGAAATAAAGAAATGTAGTATATAATTTTCTCTCTGTAGAATTCTATATTTGGGTTATTTAGCACTCTTCTCTTTTTTTCTTTTTATATTAACAGCGAACTATAGGATGTAATAAGAATCCTACGTGTGGTTATATTAAATGCTTTACAATTTATTTGAAAATTTGTAAGCCTAATATAATCAATAATTTTATTAGTCTTTAGGGTCATTAATATTTTGTCTATGTGTTTAAGAAATGATGATCAATGGCCAGGAGATTCAAAAAATGGTCCTAGTGAAAGTGAGCAACCCACATACGATGGACCTCCAGGAATGGACCCCGATGGCATCATTGAGTCCAACTGGGACCTTGTAAGTAAACAAATTGTTGTTTCTTAATTATAATGTATTTTAATGAAAAAGTTTATATTGTTAATTTTTTACGCTTAACAAAAGTAATATTTTATCTGTTATTCAAGGTTCAATAATTTAAATTAGTATTGTAAAGTACCCTATATTTGAATATTTAGATATTTAAAAATATTGTATATGCATAATATGTACATAAATCTATATATTTGTTACTTGTTTTCTAATTATTAAGTCGAAATAAACTGAATATCTGGATAATATTTGAAATTGCAAGCCATTTTAAATTGCAAGCCATTTTAAATTGAGAATATTTTAGTCTTTTTTTGAATGATCTAGTGAATAATATAAATTAATCAAATTATAAAAAATTTCATAAATTTAAAAAAATTATTTTTTGTGATTTGCTGTATACATATTATCTAGTGTTTCTTACTATATTGAAACTAAGTAGGTTCTCTACTTTTCCAATCTTTGTTCTTATTTTAATGGCATGTGTAAAGTACACAAGGTACATCCTGTTTTTTATTCCTTTTTTCATTCTAATATGATCTAGTCAGGTAAAAGTAACCTTACAGAAAAAGAGCGTTAAAGAATATAAAGATAAAAGAATAAAGGGATTCGATTGTAAATTTTACTTGAAAGATGGCGAATTATATTAGGACTCTATTGTATTCTCTATTGTATATGAAACTTTCTTTAAATTCTTATCTCAACAATCTTCATTTTTTGAATTACACAGTTTACAGGAATTGGTATAATATTTTTTATATTCTTTACAATATATCTCTTTGAGACATGTATTACATATTTTATAAAATTATTTTATGTAATTATCACACTGTTGTGGTAATATATTTTAGGAGCATTAAATTATATCAATATTATAATTTATTAAAATAGGTGGTGGAGAACTTCGATGAAATGAATTTAAAAGAAGAGTTATTGCGTGGTATATATGCTTACGGTTTCGAAAAACCTTCTGCGATTCAACAACGTGCCATCCTGCCTTGTATAAGGGGGCTCGATGTTATTGCTCAGGCCCAGTCAGGTAAGAAGTTTTAATGCAAATCTACAATCAATAATACAAATTTGTAAATACTTTATATAATATATTAATCATATTTTGTGTATTTTTGTCAATTTATAGGTACTGGTAAGACAGCAACATTTTCAATATCGATTCTGCAACAAATTGACACTAGTATTAAAGAGTGCCAGGCCTTGATCCTCGCACCAACTCGAGAGTTAGCTCAACAAGTAAGTGATGTTTGGTAGTGGCTTATTAGAAATATTTACTTCAATAAATGTTACATTTTATATTGAGGGAATGTTAAATTTTAATATGCTATTCTTATTTCTATTCAGATCCAGAAAGTGGTTATCGCTCTAGGGGATTTTATGCATGCGGAATGCCACGCGTGCATTGGTGGCACCAATGTACGTGAAGATATGCGAAAACTGGATCAGGGTGTTCACGTGGTTGTCGGCACACCTGGTAGAGTGTACGATATGATCAGTCGACGTGCTCTTCGTGCAAGTAGCATCAAACTGTTTGTGCTGGATGAAGCCGATGAAATGCTTTCTCGAGGATTTAAGGATCAAATCCATGATGTATTCAAACTCTTACCAAACGAAGTGCAGGTAAATACGAGAGATGTTTTTGAGCATTGTAGATTTCTGATTATAATTGCCGTCTAATAGATACTTTTATTTTAATTATCAGAAAGTATCTTTTATGGACAAGTCCACAAATCATACAAGATGAAAAAGTTGCAGTATACCTTATATAATATTCAAGTTAACAAATGTATTATAATATACAGGTGCGTCGTAATAGTGTCATTTTTTGACAGATGTATGTTATATGTTTGACATACGTTGTTTCCATCAAATGTATTCATTAAATTATGAATTATATGTTTTATCAAATTGTCTTTTGCCTGAAAGTAATAGTGATTAAAATGCAGTTAAAATAATAGCGATTAAAAGGCAATTATTATGACATAGCACTAATAATAAGCTAATGTTTTAAAAATTGATTAGTCACTTTTAATATTTCTGTGATAGCAATAATTACAATATCTGTTACAGCATGATGCCATTATGTTGCACACATGTATAGTTATTTATGGAAAACATCTCAGTAAACGCAATTTATTTCTTCCATCAATATTCATATAACGCTGATCATCACATTATCGTTAATAATTTGTTGCAAGAAACTTTAGTTACTTCATACTTCTAATGCTATTTCAAAATTATTTCTTTCAGGTTATATTACTATCTGCGACAATGCCCTCCGATGTATTGGACGTATCCAAATGCTTCATGCGGAATCCTATTCGCATTTTAGTAAAAAAAGAAGAGTTGACACTAGAGGGTATCAAGCAATTTTTTGTTTACGTTGAACGTGAAGATTGGAAACTGGAAACTCTTTGCGATTTATACGATACGTTGAGTATCACTCAGGCTGTTATTTTCTGCAATACGCGGCGTAAAGTCGACTGGTTAACAGAGAGCATGCATAAACGTGACTTCACTGTTTCGGCTATGCATGGAGATATGGAACAGAAAGAACGTGATCTTATCATGAGGCAATTCCGAACTGGATCTTCTAGAGTCTTGATTACTACTGATCTTCTGGCGCGTGGTATTGATGTACAGCAGGTCTCACTCGTCATTAATTATGATTTACCTTCAAATCGAGAAAATTATATCCACAGGTAAGATGTGTTTTATTTAATAGCCCGCTCTTAATCATAATATTGAAACTGTACAACTTGTAATTTATTTGGACCTTACAAATTTTTAACTTTTATGTTTTTATAACTTTTGTCAATTTAAAATAATCAGCTATAATTTAAATTAAATATTCTAACACAACGTTTATTTATCCCTTTAAATTTATACCACTGTTAACTTTTACGATGTACTGAAAAAATATTCATAACAATCTTTATGTAGTATGTAAAGAGACTGCTTTTAAATTTTTTATCCAGTAAAATTCTAAACTTTTATGAAATATATATGTAATTTACACATATGTACTTGTATACATTAAAAAATATGGATATTTAATACATGTTTTTTGTGTTACAGAATTGGTCGTGGTGGTCGTTTTGGTCGTAAGGGTGTTGCTATTAACTTCGTGACAGAGGAAGATAAACGAACCTTGAAAGATATCGAGCAATTCTATAACACTCACATCGATGAAATGCCAATGAATGTCGCTGATTTGATCTAAGTCCGACTGTTGGCTATAATCCATTATAATAAAAGAAATAATAAAAAGTAAGTGAAAGAAGCTCTCAGCTGATCGATCTCTCATGGTGTGTGAGTATAATATATATTGAGTGAGTTGGTGAACTATATCGCTTATGTAAACGCGATCTAAACCAAAATATTCCAACGTTTTTATATTCGTTTCGATTTATAATAGTAGGTTACGGAGATAGTTATCTGTTGCGCTGCAGGAGTTAATAGTACGACTATTATTAATATTAGTGTAATTATCACTACTGTTGCCGCTACCGATATTGCTGCTGCTGCTGCTGCTGCTGCTATTATTACTATTATTCCTATCGTTACGACTATTCATATTACTATAAATATTATACTATCATTGGTATTACTGGTACTAATTGGTATCAAGATTATTTTTTATTTTAACTTTTAACAATAGTGATATATTGTCACGATTAAAATATCACACTCCAGGGTGGTAAATATATAGAATTAAAGTACGAGAAACGCAGCTCGGCGCAGTTTGATTATAATTTACTCTTATTGGAATAGGTTAAAGGATTTATATTGCCAGAATGCGTCCATACTGTTATCCTGTCGCAAGTCCAATAATTGTCATAAAAATTTTGAAGTCTGTCTTAAGACTTCTTATTCCGCCTATTTTCCCTCAAGATATTTCTAACTGGATGATTAAGTCGATTGTGTTTAATAACTTATACTTCATGCTTCTATCACCGCGGTTACAATTTGTTTGTCTAGGCAGAGGTTTAGTTGGGTATTGGAAGGGATATTTTAATCACAAGCGTTGCCGAAGGAGATGTATATTCAGGCTTAGAACGATATGAATTTTTGTATATCCTAAATCCCAGGCGCACACACCTTCATACTAAATAAAGTGTTTGATCTTTTAAGAGAGTGTGGTCTTTGTTATTGTAATCTTTATTGTCTTTTTTATCAAATTTTATCCAATTTCACAATGAAAACCCTGTATGGACAAACTGTACGAGTGAAATTCTCGGACTGTGAAAGGCTCCGCGTTGGGAATAAGTTTTACGGTTTACATGCCGAAAAAGTTCTCACAGTTTTCTTTTATTTGTATTTGCAGGCAGTTTTGGACGGTCCAGATGGGCGGACATATTTTTGGAAATAAAGACCAGATTTCCTGATTCAAAATCGAAGTTTTGTAAATCGATTACCTTTCTAAACTCCTGCCTTTTATAGGCTTTAACGATATGTGTATTTTTTCTTTTTTTTATACTTTTACATTATTGGTAATAGACGATCAGCTTTTAGAAGATTTTTTTTCACCTGTAAATGAAAAATTTATTGCAAATATTCTTTGCCGCATATTCATAAGTTTTTGTGCACTTATCAATACTGGACATTGAATCGAAACATCTACATTGTGAGAACTTTTGTATCGTCTTTACAAAATAATTAAAAATATTGCGATATATCATACTCTATTGTCGTCATTAATCGTAAATTTGCAAAAATATTAGTAATAGTTTTCGAAAATTTGAACAAGTAGAATAAACTATGTGAGTGCTTCGAACATATTTTATAACTACCGATTTCCAAATGTACTGAAACACAAACTTCTTATTCGCGCATTTGAGATTTGGCTTATGCAAAATCCTATCGAATTTCCGAAAACTAGTTATTAAAAATTCTGTAAATATTATAAATGGATCTTGATGGACTGGACCATTGCGTGTCTACTGTATTTATATATTAGTATATAAATAATATTTATGACTGAAATGAAACATAAACATATACAATAAATGTGAATGTCCTTTATATTTGTAGTATCAATACCTTCAAATAATTTATTATTATTTAAATAAACTTGATTATAAAATATGAAAACTAATATTTAACATTACAAAGATGTGAATAGGAGTTCTGTAACTGAGAGTTTGTCATTTATTAAAATATAAGAAGAAAAATTGGTACAAATGTTGCTTAAAAATGGTAAAATATATGAACGCAGATGCATGAAATTATTTTTTTTAGTATTTTATATAATTATATAAAATTTTATATATATATATAAATTTATAGTGTCTAAATTTATAATATAATGGATTTTCAAATTATATGCACATGTACTTTAATTATATATAAAATTTATTATTTATTATCAATTATTTCTTTAAAGTTTTTTTAATGCTTCACGTTTTCAACGATTCAAAGGTTAGGCTAGTTTAGATTCTGTTTTTGTAAGGTTATGTTATTCACAACACGTGGGCACATAGATTTATTAGAGTTCTTTTAAAATATCACAAAAAAATAGTATTCATTTAGAAAGAAAACGACAGAAGTCGGAAAAGAGTACAGTTGCATAAAAGAAAATAAACGGTATTAGAGAATAAATAGATTATCAAACATTATGTCTAAACGTCCAGAACGTTTGGCACCACCTGAGGTGGTAAGTTTTAAACCTTTTTTAATTTGTTCTTCAAAGACTATAATTTCGAGGAATTTATAAATTATATTAATAAATCAATATCTAATTTTATGTTTTCTTTCTATTATAGTATTATAATGAAACGGAAGCTAAGAAATACACACAAAGGTATGTATTTACAAATTAAATGACATACGTACAGTTTTTAATAAAATTTATATATCTGCAGTTCTCGTATGATAGACATTCAAGTACAGATGTGTGAACGTGCTATCGAACTTCTTGTATTACCAGAGGATCAGAGTTGTCTACTTTTGGATATCGGTTGTGGATCAGGTCTCAGTGGCAGCGTATTGGAAGAACAGGGACATGTATGGATAGGTGTTGACATTTCTTCAGCCATGCTGGGTAAATATTTTAATATTTATAATAATTATGATGTACACAATATATTTACTGAATTATGTTTTGAGAATCTTTCTTTGTAACTCTATATACAAGTATATGTATAAAGTTATAGTTAATACATTATTTTTCAGAGGTGGCTGCAGAAAGAGAAACAGATGGTGACTTAATCTTAGGGGATATGGGTCAAGGATTACCATTTAGAGCTGGTGCATTTGATGGTGCTGTTAGTGTCTCTGCTCTGCAATGGTTGTGCTATGCAGATAAAGCTTCACACAATCCTACAAAACGTTTATATCGTTTCTTCTCATCATTGTTTGCATGCTTATCAAGAAGCGCCAGAGCAGTGTTACAATTTTATCCGGAAAACAGCGAACAAGTTGAATTAATTACTGCTCAAGCTATAAAAGCCGGCTTTTTTGGTGGTGTAGTAGTGGATTTCCCAAATAGTACAAAAGCGAAGAAAATGTTCTTAGTTTTAATGACTGGTGGAGCTGTTCCACTTCCAAAGGCATTAGGTACAGAGAGTGAAGATAGACAAACCGTGGCTAATTCAAGAAGGTTTGATTATTATATTTTTATGATGTATTTGTCTTTTAATTTGCATTTTGTATTTCTAATTTTGTCTTTAATTGTATTTTTATCTTACAAAAATAATTTTACGAATTTTCTATTACAGAGAATATATGAAAAAAGCCAGGGGTAAAACATTGAAGAAAAGCAGAGACTGGATTATAGAAAAGAAAGAAAGGCGACGGCGACAAGGAAAAGAAGTTAGAGATAATTCTAAATATACTGGACGAAAGAGATCTGGGCGATTTTGAGATATATTTATAAAATGTTATTTTCAAAATAATTTTGATTTAGTTATTATTTTAATTTTACAAATAAAATTTGTGAAGTAGAAAATTTAGTAATATTTAAAAATAAAACTTTTTCTTTCTAATAAAACATTTTGTAACTTTTTTAAAGAAAATATTAATAAAATATTAAAATTTGTAAATAATTATATTTAAATGCTTATGTAAAGCAAATTATTAACATTAATCTGTGCTTTGAATTCAAGATATTTGTAACATTTTAATTTTATTTTTGTAACATTATAGTAGAAACAATAGTCACAATAAATGAATATTTTATATTATTTAAGTAAATAACATAAATTGTGAAATATTCTTTTGCATTTCACTAGGTAATACTTTTTCTAACTCTTTGTGATCTAGCCATTGATATTTTAAATCACTAGTAATGTCTCCATCTACATATTTTGCCAAGAAATAAAATATCTTAGCACCGTAACTTCCTTGCTCATTAAGCTTCTTTGGATATTTATACTTATAGAATCCAATAGGTGCATTGCCATAAAATTTTACTGTTATTTTTGCACCACATGCATCTTGCAATACTCTCTCTGCTGTCTGTAAAAGTAAAAGATGATAACTTTTGTATCAATTTTTATTTTTGCATATGTACATACATATGTATAAAATTAATTATAGAAAAAACATACTTGTCTCATGGTTTCTCCTTCCTTTCGAATACCTTGGGGAGGTATCCAATAATTTGTATTACCTATTTTCTGTTGTATTAGTAAAAGTAAATTTTTGTCCAGTTTACGTTTTAAAGATGATGTTATATTTTCTTTATCAAATTCTAAAAATAATGCATACAAATAAATGATTTGTTGTGCTTTCAAACATTCTATAAGATTTTATCTTGAATTCAATTATTATATAAATTATTATATAAATATTATAATACTTGTACATACTTGTAATTGTTGGAGCAAATTTAAAACTGTCTAATTCTTCTTGACAACTATCTTCAAAGTCTTGCGCAGTTTGTATTAAAACGACATCTTCATCATCTACACTAATTGGCTTTTTTTTCTTCTCCTTTTCTACTCTCAATTCATGATCACACTTTAAACTATTTTCAAATTCAATTTTCTTTAAAATATTATGAAATTTTAATTCTATATCTTGCATTGGCTGTATTATAATTGGATGGCGTTCTAAACACACAGCACTGTATAAATCCCATTTTTTTACAGCTGTGACAGTACTAAATGTTTGAGTATTTTGGAGTTGAATCACATTAGGACATATTGCAATAATTTTTCTTTTTGTACCTGCAAAAATATACATTATTATAGCTTAAATTTTAGGTTAATAATCTAAATAGTAAATTACCAGTTTTTTTGAGATAACATTGCACAATATCTAAATATGATAAAAGAAAAATAATTACTTTTACCAATCAGTCTTAAATTATATGACTTTGACAGTGTCAAAACTTGTTTAAACATTTTGGATCAGTTATATCATAACCTATTAAAGAATTTTGTGATTCTTCGATATCTCGATCGTTTCAATATCTCGATTTATTTATTTCGATTTATGTCCAATATCTTATGGCATATCCGCAAGAAGATGCATAAGGAAATGGACCAATCCAATTTCTTATACAAGCTATGCAAGTTAGTCTGGATATACTCTTAGTATCAATCTTCAAGATTGCAATTTTTATAACACAAATTTCAAATAGTGCCGTTACTTCCGCGGCGTCCGCGCCTTTTTTACGCCGCCATGTTGTTATTATTATTCTTGCGGTAAGTTCTGGACACAAAACGCGAATGATAATCATATTTTATCCGTTAAAAATGCGTAGCAAGTACAAATTTTGCCGATCAAAGTGATGGGCGTTTGCTAAAATGTATTATTTAGTATAATCATTTACGATTAACAGCGGAGATTCTGTTATTTCCGAAGGTGAGGGTTCATGGATAACTTTTATTTGTTACTACTACATGAAACTAACAATAAGTAATGAATTTCAGATAATCATCAATTTTTCGATCGATGTAGATCAATCTAAGGTAGAATGGAATCTGTTTGCAGTGGAGAGAAATGCAATACTCTAGTTGGTCAGTATAATTGTTTATTATTTAAATATGTATAAATTGTGTAATAATACATACATACACAATTACAATTTGCATTTAATAAATATTTATTATGATGCTTGAAAGATATTTTCATTAAATATTTATTAAAACATTTATGAAATATGCAATGCAACATACTTTTAATAATTTTTAAATAATTTTTTATATGTAATTAATTTCACATATTATTCACACATATATCAACGCATATTAATTTCTTCAGATACAGCAGGAATATTTAGGTAGTTGGAGTACAATTGGTGAGTAAATTTATTTATTGTACTTGTATCACATGTACTAATGCATAATTAGACAAAATGCTAATGTCATCCATTGTCTTATTTGTCAATATTAACTGCATAATATGTTATTGGGAAGGTAATTAGAAATAAGACACATATGAAGAAAAGAAAGAGATTAAATGAAAGCAAAGAATAATTATTGCTTTAGAATGTTTAAGAATGTACTTCAATTTTTATCATTTGTTTGACTTGAGTATAATTAGATTTCTTATTTGTTATTTTTTTTCTTTTTTGTGCTATTTTATTATTATTTCACACTTGTTATAGCCAACAAGCGGCTAAGAAATAAAAATTATCATGTAATGCTCTTAATCAATTTATCATCAGAAATCGTGCATTTTTCATTTTTCTATTATACCGACGATTAATATTGATACACCGCGCCATCTTTTGGTTGTCATAAAACTTTGTATGTCGCGGTTGGGAACGTGAAGCGCGAATTCCGCTCCGTGATTAATCGCGTATTTCACTCGTTAAAAGTGCGAAACGAGTGCGAATTTGGAGGTGGTAATTAAAGTGATAGGCGATTACTGGAACATATTATTTTTACTCGGGATGTTCGCGATTAATGGTATTTCATCGATCACAGTCTGCGTACACTGGCGCGCGCGCGTACAACCAGTGTGAAATCAGTAAGTATGGATTCCGACATTTTTCTAGAATATCAAACGTTATACTTTTAGAGTAACATATTGAAAATTCGGGCAAAATGTATTGATATTGTACGTCCATTTCTACTTTTGCATGGCCGCCAAACAATTATTATTTGTCTCGTTGCTCCGAATGTGCATACATCAGTATCGAATAGATCATGAAATGTAAGATGATACGGTTAAAATTAAGTGCGCGAATGTGTTGTAGCACAAAGTGCATTTTATGTATTGAGGCAAAGTAATATGGCGACGTAAATTGTGATTGTCAAAAGTGAAATACATAGATCGACTTATATTAGTATCTTTTCTGCGCATAAATCATTTCACTATAGCTTAAATTGGAGGCTATTAATCTAAGAATGTAACTATTATTTTTTTAGGTTAATGTTGCTTAATTATAACTAGAAGAGGAAGAAATATTTCTTTTGTCGGATAAAATCTGAAAATCTTAAATTTTTAAATATAATTTACAACAAAATAAAAAAGATGTTATGCTATTTCATAAATATTAGAACATTTTATTTGTATTCGTCTTATGATTCAAATAAAATGTATTTATTAAGTTTTATATATACATATATATAAAATTATATGCAAGTTTTTTATCTTCTGCATTTTTATACACATTTTTAAATATTTTTTTTTTCTTTTTGATCAGTGTTTTACTAATTTTTTCACTGTTTTAATGAATTCTTAATTTTATTTTTAATACAGGAAATAGAGAGAATACAATGGAGCTGTATGAAACATACTTGTGTCAGAAACAGAATTGGTTTACACTGGAGAGTGTGCAAAATTAAGTGCGAATTTTCGACATTTACCAATTTTTGGCAATGATAGCACTAGGAATTTAAGAATCTGGAGCTGTTGGAGCAAACTACAATACTCTAGTTGGTAAGTGTAATTATTCATTCATTATTTAAATATATACATACACTATTCATATATCTGAATATATATTAAAATTTTTTAATAATTTCTAACACAATTTATTGTATTTAATTATATTTTAATTAATATGGAAACTAATATGGAAATTAAATAATACATAACAATTAAGATATATAAAAGAGTATGATAATTTCAATAAAATATATATTAATTTCAGGTACAGCTGATAGCGTGCTTGGCTAGAGTACAACAATCGGTGAGTGAATTATTTCTACAAAATTATACAAAATACTGATATTTATTTGCTATTTTTTTACGCATCAATATTTGCTGTATAATTGCTAAAAATCGCGCCTTGGCAATATATTCTAATCTGGAATTTTTATTTTTAATCAATTTCAATTTCAAAATAATAAAATTTCTTTTTGCTTATCTTCACAAAAAATTTTAATTTTTAAATTAGTTATGCAATTTATTATTTTTGAATTATAAAAATATAAAATATGAAAAATATAAGTTATATGAATATATAATTATATTAAAAGCTATAAATTCAATCTGTACGAATCTATTTTTTATTTAATTTTTAAAATAAGTTTATGCAAAGTTTTATTTGCAAAAAAATTGCCAAAGTAAATTTTTTAGATATGAATTCATTGATGCAGCAAAAGAATTGTGTCTATTGATATAATTGTTCATACAAAATGATATAATTGATTCTATGATACATGTTTTATCGAACAGTTTGAAATAGATTGCAAATAGATTGAAATACTTAGAAAATATAAACTATCCATGATTATAATTTTTTTAAGAATAATTCGTATCACTCAATGTGATGTATTAAATTTGTATTTTGTATTACATGATCAAATTTGAGCAATATATTCTTGTCTGCAATTTTTTAAATTAATTTTGATTTCAAATCAATAATAAAATATAAAATCACTTTCTGCTTATCTTTATGATAAAAAAATTTCACTTTTTAAACCAATTAATATATTAATAATATAAATTATATGAATACATCAATCATTGAAATCAATTTTAAATACATGTATATTGAAAAGAAAAATTTATTAATACCTAAAACAATGTATATGGAAACTGAAAATCTAAAGATATATAAATTTTAAACATATAATTGTCATCTATATATATCTAATTTTTTGATATGTTAATGCCAAATTTTTGTGTAAAAAAATTGCCAAAGTTTATTTTCAGATAAGCAAGTTATTAGTGTAATAAAACAGAATGTTTCTGTCGGGAGTGCCGTTTAAAGTAACGGGCGAGTGTCGCGGATGTTGTCAATTAATAGTGCTTTATAAGTAATTTTTTTAAATGAAAATTGTGAGTTGGTTTACATTCGGGAGTGTCGATTGAAGTAACGGGCGAGTGTCGCGGATTAAGTGCAAGTTTTCGATATTCATCAATTTTTGACAATAATGGCACTGATGCGGAGCAGTCTATGTATCTGCAGCTGTTGGAACAAACTGTAATACTCTAGTTGGTAAGTGTAATTATTTGTGCATTATTTAAATATACACTATTTATTATATTGTATATATATTAAAAATTTTTAAATAATTGTTAACATATTATTGCATTATATTTTAATCAAACTGGAAATAATTAAATAATACATAATAATTAATATATGTAAAAAGTATATGATAAAATTGAATTAACGTATATGTATATTAATTTCAGGTACAGCTGACAGCGTGCTTGGCTAGGATATAACGACTGGTGAGTGAATTCATTATTTTTGCATAATTATACAAAGTACTGATGTCATTTGCTGTTCTTTTCTGCACCAATATTTATTGTATAATTGCTAAAAATTGCGCTTTGGCAATATATTCTTGCAATTTTTATTTTTAATCAATTTCTTTTTTAAATCAATAATAAAATATAAAATTACTTTCTGCTTATATCTTCACGATAAAAATTTTAATTTTTAAACAAGTTATGCAATTTATTCTTAAATCTTTACAAAATTATAAAATTTTAGAGATATATAAATTATATGAATATATGTACATCAATCATAGTAAAACCTATAAATTTAATCTGTATGAATCTATTTTTTATTCGATTTTTAAATAACTTTATACAAAGTTTTTTGCAAAAATATTGGCAAAGTATAGTTTTTTAGATATGCAATTCATTGGTGCAGCGAAAAAATCAAGTCTATTGATACAATTGCTTATACAGAAACGATATTATTCGTTTCTATGATACACGTTTCGTCGAATATTTATTTAAATAGAAAATAGATTGCAATATTTAGAAAGCATAAGCCATTCATGATTATGGATTTTTTGTTTTATATGATCAAACCTGAGCAATATTAAAATAATTGCTCTGGATTTTATCGCTAATCTAAGATCTTTTAAAGATGATTGATAAAATGCATGTTATTGTTGAACAAATATCTTGAAATAAACTTAAGATTGTTTTATTAAACATACGCATATTTCAACAAAAGTTGAAATCAATTTTAATGTGATATTTATCAATTATTAATCTGGTTAACGATAAATAAGTCAAA